CCAAACCCTAGGCCGCGCGACCCGCTGCCTTGCGTCGCGAGGAGGAAGCGGCGTGGTGGTGGTGGTGTTGGAGGAGGAGGAGGAGGAGGAGTGTGGCGGCGGGCGCGCGGAGGGCCGGCCACCGCCGCGGCATCGCGCTGCAGCTGCGACAGGGGCTCGCGCGGTCAGCTGGCAGCGTTGACCCGCTCGGCATGCGGCGACGCGAGGGGAGGAGGGCGTCGCCGCGCCGGGAGGGAGAGAGGAAGGGCTGGAAGAGGGGGCGCCGAGCGTCGCGGAGAGGTCGAGGGAGACGGCACGACAAGAGGCTTCGAGAGGCAGCGGACGCGGTGGGAGCAGATATTTCCAGACAGGCACTGTAGAAGACGGCGGGAGGAATCAGGAATGTTGATCGAAGAATCCGACGGCTGGATTAATCGGGGTGACGTGGATGGGCTGAGAGCTGGCCAAAGCTCGCCGGCTCAATGATAGTAAATTCGTGAGCTACTAGCTAATCATTTTCTTTGTAATAAGGTCTTAGCTTCACCACGTTCCTATAGCTCGTCTACGCACGAGATTGCTAAGGTTGTTTTGAGTTGGGACCCGAGTCAATTCTAGGTGTGGGATGATCCCCTCCCGTATTTTGTAAGCAATTTAGCAGCTCGCGATTGTGTCGAGCTTACATCTGTTAATGAAAGGCCATGAAGGCCAGGTTGTGCTAAAAAAAACACTTGTGATTTTTCGGAATTTTCAGCAAGACAGTGGCTTTGAGCCGTAAAAAGCCTATTGTTAGAGTACATTACTATTTCTGGGAAATTTTAAGATTGTAACCTTTTAGGATTTACTACATCCATTTCAAAACATATTTTTATTCTAATTTAATTTGGCCTAAAGTTAAACATTTCTATTTCTTACTATAAATTTCTATAAATTCATATAGTTTACTGCTATGTGAAAATTATATATTATATAAATGTATTCTCATGGTGAACCTAAAAGCCACTGTTCGGGTAAACAACCGTTTTGTCTTATTTAAACACTATGTAACCATTACATGGAGATATCGTTTCTGTTTGATCGGTAGGTCAGATAATGGTTAAATAGTAGGTGGCTGGCTGTTTAGTGTTTGAAAAAAAAAAACTGCTAACAATATAGATCTTCTAATGCTAAAACCATATAGATTTGTTGATGGGGTCAAAAACAGAAAATAACTAATTTAGGACAAAGTTTCGAATCAGTGAACAAACAGCGGTAACTTTTGGAGGTTTATCAGCAGTCCAGCACTGGAGCCTGATCGCCTGGTGCACCGGCAAAGCTGATGCTGATCGGCTCATGGGGCCCAGTTGGAAGCCAGAGCAACCGGGTCCTTCAACCTTCCGGCATCCTGAAGGCCTGAGCCTGAGCGGCTGAACTGTAGATACATTGTTACGCTGTAATTCTGATCACATGTTTATATTCCGCTGTTATATTAAGTTATTCATAACTCTGATAATATAATCACATTCCGTTGTTATAGTAAATAAATATTATACTCTGATATTGTACTAAAAGTGATGTAAGAAATGGTTAAGAATGTTGTAAGCTTTATTCTCTCATATGTGATCCTGATGGCAAAAATGTGAATTTTCGGGTTCTCTCCTAGGGTGTGTCCGACGGAACCGAGTAATTTAGTGTTCTCCCTTGAGTGCTTAGTGTCTAATGAAAGATGAACACTCCTGGAAAGCATTAGATTAGGCGGTTCTGCCACAGATGGCCACCAGACGAGATCAATGTACCCCTATCACGGGGAGTGTGTCCCCATAGAATTATCAGTAGGTCAAGGCATTTAGGCATTTTGGTCCGTTCCACAGCAGACTGGCTATTTTCCTGCACGTGTGCCATATATCAAGGGTTAGAATTAAATAGAATGGGAACGTCTTTAGCAGAAGTTCGTAGGGGGAGGGGGTTATAAAACAAATAGGTGGAAGTTAGTACCCCGTTGCCACCCTCAAAGAACGAGGGGTCAACTGTGACGCCGCCTGTATGTGGGTCACGGCCTAGGCCGGTGTGGGATTGAAGGTCGCGCCAAGTAAAATATGTCCGCTTCAGCTCGTTCAGCTTGTTCTGCAGCTGTTTCTTTTCGTACGTCAACCCCGTTGCCGTTGCGAATGCTGATACAAATTTGCCGAGCCTTAGGTTGTGAGGCCTCTTTGGTTCCAGTGTAATAGGTTTTTCTACTCTATTACAAGTTCTAGAAAGGTCCTCACGGTGGTGTCATCCTAGTTAGTACGATCCGTGGACATCTATTGCCAGGGTATGATGAACGCAGTACATACACCAATAAACAACAGCTCTTGTCATCACAAACAAGAGAGTTAGGACGAAAGAAATGCGGACGTACCTTAGCAGAACGCTTGGCGCGTTTTGATCGATGGTTGTAGTGCCTGACTTGAGGTGAAGAGCACAATGAAGTGGATGACGCTGCCAGTTTGGGCTGCGTTATGAAGCACTTGCGAGCAGTGCACTGAAAGAAACAAACACAATCCCACATTCTCAATGAAAATTAGTGTGCACAATTGGGGAACTGTAGATACATTATCATGTGGAAGATTATATGGATGCTGAAAGTTCAACCTGCCCTAATTGATTATTCAACTTGGATTTTGATTTAATACACGTGTAGTTCCCATTTGATTTATATAGATGTTCCTTCTTACTTTCAATGTCACCCAGTTGTTGTAATAAGGTATGTTGCTGCAATGTAAACCCAACAACGAAACAAAATGGTGTCCCTTATAAACTTATATGGCTATTTAAGAGCCAACATCAATCAATGAATCAGGTGAGGGACTCTCTCCCTCTCCGTCGACTTATCAAAAAAATAAGGTAAGTTGCTACTTGAAATAATAATATTGTATAATTTTTAGCTGTTTTGCCCGAACACGCTTTAAGCATGACGGAACACAAAAGGCACACCATAGCCATACTCCCAAACTGAGAAATAACCCAACAAGCTTATCCCATCACCAAAATATTATCTTTAAACACAACAATCAAAAGCTACTTCGGGAAGGGGAGCGGGCCTGATGTAGCTGAGCCTAAGCCATGAAACTGATGGGAACGTTGCTAGTAATGTATTCTGTTCAAAGTCAACAACGCCAGTAACCTAATCAGATAAGCATTTTGTTTAATGAAAAAGGTGCTCATTGGATGCTGAATAACATCACCTATAATTTTAGTTGATTAGTTCCAAGCGTCCCCGGATCCGTGGACGGCGCTTGGGAAAGACCTGCAAAATGAGCATGTGGAAATTGAGGGGGGGGGGCGGCGGAGGCGACGGATCGGAGAGGGGGGGGAATACGGAGGAGGCAGATCCAGAGGGGGCGGGGGAAGAGCGGAGCCAGTAGATCGGGGAGGGGGACGACGGCGTCGTCGGATCCGGGGGTACCTTGTTGTCGACGGACGGGTGTCGACGGCGGCGGGTTCTGAGAGGGATGCGGAGCTCACTGTCGTCGCGGAGGCTGTCGACGGCGAGGGGGCCCCTCACGACAGAGAGAGGCGGGACGGGATGGAGGCGTTTGCCAGCTGCGGGGGCAGGCACGGCGAAGCGGAGCTGACGACCGCCGCGGCCTGCGCGGAGGAAAGAGGAGGGGCGAGCAAGCGGAAACCCTAGCCGCGCGACGCGAAGTGTATCGGACTGAGGGAGAGGAGCAGAACACGGCCGGGTTGCCTATTAGGGCAGCCGTTCGACTGGAAGTGGACTGCCGAGCGGCTGGGCTGATCAGCCGGCTGAAAACCAGTCGAGCCAGCCGTTTTCAAGCAGCCGAACATACCCTAAGTTTCCGACGTGTATGGTTGGATGTAGCAATGAGGGGTACATAAAACCAGGGAGATGTTAGCTTTTTCTTTATTTATTATTGTATAGGCGTGCTGATTTGGTTCAAGCATCTCCTGGATTGAATTAGAAACGGACTGCAGCCAACTGCGGGAAGCGATCACGTCACAGGCCAGGGATATGGCAGCAAGCGGAGTCCTTTTCCGAAGTATTCGTGAGCTACTAGCTAATCATTTTCTTTGTAATAAAGTCTTAGCTTCACCACGTTCCTGACGAGATTGCTAAGGTTGTTTTGAGTTGGGACCCGAGTCAATTCTTGGTGTGGGATTATCCCCTCCCGGATTTTGTAAGCAATTTAGCAGCTCGCGATTGTGTCGAGCTTACATCTGTTAATGAAAGGCCATGAAGGTCAGGTTGTGCTAAAAAAACACTTGTGATCTTTCGGAATTTTCAGCAAGATAGTGACTTTGAGCCGTAAAAAGCCTATTGTTAAAGTACATTACTATTTCTGGGAAATTTTAAGATTGTAACCCTTTAGGATTTACTACATCCATTTCAAAACATATTTTATTCTAATTTTATTTGGCCTAAAGTTAAACATTTCTATTTCTTACTATAAATTTCTATAAATTCATATAGTTTAATGCTATGTGAAAATTATATATTATATAAATGTATTCTTATGGTGAACCTAAAAGCCACTGTTTGGGTAAACAACCGTTTTGTCTTATTTAAACACTATGTAACCATTACATGGAGATATCGTTTCTGTTTGATCGGTAGCTCAGATAATGGTTAAATAGTAGGTGGCTGGCTGTTTAGTGTTTGAAAAAAAAACCCCTGCTAACAATATAGATCTTCTAATGCTAAAACCATATAGATTTGTTGATGGGGTCAAAAACAGAAAATAACTAATTTAGGACAAAGTTTCGAATCAGTGAACAAACAGCGGTAACTTTTGGAGGTTTATTAGCAGTTCAGCACTGGAGCCTGATCGCCTGGTGCACCGGCAAAGCTGATGCTGATCGGCTCATGGGGCCCAGTTGGAAGCCAACCTTACGGCATCCTGAAGGCCTGAGCGGCTGAACTGAACCCCTCAAAAACCCTCTCGCTGCGGCTGCGGCTGCGGCTGCACCCGGCACCCTCACGCGGTCACGCGTCACGCCCCCACATTTCCCGCGCCGACCGACCAGGCGGAGGCGGCCACGCCATGGGCAAGCCCAAGCAGCAAGTGCTTTCCCGCTTCTTCTCCACGAAGCCCGCGCCCCAGCCCGCCGGCCCCGACCCGCCGCCCCCGCCTCCGCTCAACCCTAAACCCTCCGCGGCGCAAGCGCAACCGCCCGTCTCCACCGTCGCCTCCTTCTCCCCAGCCAAGCGCGCGCGCGCGCGCGCCCTCTCCCTCTCCCCCAAACCCCGCCCGCCAAACGGCCCAATCCCACCCCTCCTCCTTCCCGCGACGCCGTCCGCCGCAGGCTCCTGGAGCCGCTCGACCCGCCGCCGCCGCCTCGCCCCCTGAACCCTACTGCCGCCGCCGGCGGCGGCGGCGGTGGCGGCAAGGGCTACACCCCGCTGGAGCAGCAGGTGGTCAACCTCAAGGCCCGCCACCCCGACGTGCTCCTCATGGTCGAGGTGGGCTACCGCTTCCGCTTCTTTGGCGAGGACGCCGCCGTCGCCGCCGCGGTGCTCGGCATCGTCGCGCACCCGGACCGCAGCTTTCTCACTGCCAGCGTCCCCAGCTTCCGACTCGGCTTCCACGTCCGCCGCCTCGTCGCCGCCGGCCACAAGGTCGGGGTCGTGCGCCAGACCGAGACCGCCGCCATCAAGGCCGCGGCCGGGGGCGCGGGAAGCGCCGCCCCGTTCGCGCGGAGCTTGTCCGCGGTGTACACGCGCGCCACGATCGAGGCCGCGGCAGGCGAGCTGGAGGGTGGCGGCGCCGCCGCGCCCGAGGAGGGGAGCAGCTACCTCGTCTGCGTCGTGGATAAGGAGGTGGAGGCGGCGGGGAGGGAGGGACCCCAAGTGAAGGTTGGGATGGTGGCCATCGAGGTGTCCACGGGTGAGGTCGTCCACGGGGAGTTCCTGGACAGCGACTCCAGGAGCGATCTCGAAGCTGTGCTGCTTGGATTGGCGCCCGTGGAGGTCATCCTGGGGACACCACTCTCTTTCGCTACAGAGAAGGTAAGGTAGCTGACGAGAATTATCAGTTAGTTGATCTTGACCCTCATGTGCTCATGTTCAAGTTGTAGGTTTCTTAGATGTTTTTGTTTTTCAATTCACATGATAGCTGTAGCTGATATTTTAGTGAGTATAATCGACCTCTACTCGCTTGTCATATATTCTTTATGGTTGGTCTAGTTTGTGTGTCACTTACCTTTCATGGCTAGTGCGCTTTTATTAATGGAAGTCTGTAGTTATTTAGCAAACTAATCAGAGATTTAGCTATAATCTTGTTGATTTATTAAATTAATTTGTAGCTTAATAGTTTTGATGTCATGCTATATGGATATTTAATTTTCAGGATGCTGACACTACAGGTTCAATTTGATGCTATGGTTGCTGGCAAATTGGCAAGAACCACAAACAATTCACTGTAGTGTAGTTTAGTAGTATGTATAGCACACCTTTTCTGCTCCCACCATTGCAATTTCCTTTCTGTTTACAATTAATGCCAAGTTCACGTCCAGTTGTCCGTCATGAAGTGTCATTGCCTTTTCTTCATGGCAGCCTAAGCTCAAGAAATGTTTTCTTCTGATGGTGGATTTTAATGTGCTACTTACCCTACACCTTCTTCCTTTCCTTTTATGTATACTTTGCTTGAAGGTCTTGCTACTTGAGTAAATATTTCTCTCCCAGATTTATCTAAATCGGCATCTACTTGTTGTGTAGATTATGAAGGCATATGTGGGACCCACCTCTAATGTGCGGGTTGAGCATGTATCATGTGAATGTTTTGGCGAGGGTGGTGCTTTGGCTGAACTGATAGCTTTATTTGAAAAGTCTGTGGACAATGCTTCTAGGGCTGAATATGATAGAAAGCTGATAGAAACAAATGATGACAACAACAATCTTCATGGGATTGAGGTACTGTTAGCCTTTAAATTCTATTCTGAGTGGTGTTTTGGTGTATTCATTATCATCCTGCCTAAGTCACCAATTGCTCATCATGTAGTATATGATTTCTCATAACTACCATTTGTTCAAAACTAGGGTATCATGGCGATGCCAGAGCTAGTTGTTCAAGCATTAGCATTATCGGTTCGATATCTCAAAGGTTTCGGCATGGAAAGGATAATATGCTTTGGTTCTTCATTCTGGCCATTTTCTGCTGGTACAGAATTTTCCTTATCAGCAAACGCTCTTCAACAACTTGAGGTAGAGTCTTTTGCAGCACTTTCAAAGTAAAAGTTCCTGTTTGAATATTTATTAATATTTCTTTCTCAGGTCTGTCCTTGGCCTCTAGCTTTGTGGACAGTTTTGTTGACAATAATTTCTTTCTCCCATACAGTCAACAGGACACCTAGAGTTGTTTTTTTTTCGTGAACTGCTGCTTCTCTTTTGTTCAATTCATGGAGTAACAACTAATGTGCTTTCAGGTATTCAGGAACAACTCAGATGGTACAACAGAAGGGTCTCTGTTCCAAACTATGAACAATACATGCACATCTTTTGGGTCTAGATTGTTTAGAAACTGGGTAAGGCTATCTATGCCTTCTCATGAAAAGAATGTTTGCATGGTGTATCATTCAATTGAAACCAACTAAATGTCAGAACATTGCAAAATATGAAATGTGACAACCCCAAAAGCTTTACATTTATCTCAACTGTTCTTTCATAGTTCTTTGATAATTTGATGTTCTTGCAGTTAACGCATCCCTTATGTGATAGACATCTGATTTGTGCTCGTCACGATGCGGTATCTGAGATTTTTGAATCAATGGGATCACATCATTCAGTTAGCAATCTTCAGGATGGAGGGGATAGATCCTGCACAGCTTCAGCGCGTAGTGATTTGTGTACTGTCCTTTCATCAGTTTTAGCATTGCTGGGAAGATCAGTTGACATTCAAAGAGGAATAACAAGGGTTTTTCATTGCAAAGCCACAGCTAAAGAGGTGAAATGTGTATTCTTCCTTTTTGTTCTAGTTGATTGCAAACTGAATTTTTTGCCATTTCGTGTATCCTTGCTACATATCATTCTGGTCACTTGGTATTTATACCAATAGCTGACTGCTGTATTCTCTTATTGGTACCTCATTTCCTAATGTTTGCATTGCAGTTTGTTGGTGTTATCCAGTCTATCCTCACAGCTGGGAAGCAGCTGCAGAAGCTTGTTCTTGAGGATATTGGCACTGTCTCGTCTCAGCATAAACCTGTGCACTCCTCTTTGCTGAGAAGGCTAATAAGTACAGCTTCGTCATCCACTGTACTTAATAGTGCTATGAAACTTCTGTCTTGTCTTAACAAAGATGCGGCTGATCAAGGAGATATGCTAAACCTATTCATTGCATCCGTGGATCAGTTCCCAGAGGCAAATCCTTCCCTCAAAACGAAATGAACTTGTTCTGTTTACCCGTTCTGAGGCTTGACACTCGCATGTTTTATAGGTTGCAGAAGGTCATGTAAATGTAAAAATGGCTGACCATAAACTTGATTTATTGATCGTGGAGTATCGGAAGCAACTTGGTATGCGCAACTTGGAGTTTAAAACCGTAGCTGGAACCACCCATTTGATCGAAGTTAAGTGGCCTGAGTTCAGCTTCAAATATTGTTAACTGCATTCTCAATTTGCAAAAAGGTTATATTTATCTTTTGTTATATTATTAAGACTATCTTTTGTGTGCCTGCAGCTACCAGTAGATAGAAGGGTACCATCAAATTGGATAAAGATAAACAGCACAAAAAAGGCCATCAGATACCACACCCCTGAAATATTGAAGAACCTGGACAATTTATTACTGTCTAAGGAGGAACTAGCTGTTGTATGCAGGTCTATGTGGCATAAATTCCTAACATATTTCAGCAAGTACTATGCACAGTTTCAAGCAGTTGTTGAATCTCTTGCAGCTCTGGACTGCCTCTACTCATTTGCGGTTCTTGCTAAGCAGAATGTAATGAAAATTCCTCTCTCCTTGCGTCTGACTTTTTCTTGTGTGAAATTGTTCACCAATGGCCAACCTTTGTTCCATCTTGCAGAATTATATACGGCCTATTTTTGTCCATGATAATGAACCAAGTCAGATTCACATCAAAGATGGACGCCATCCGGTCAGTTGTAGTTGTAGCTCACTTTCCATGCCATTTCTAAACATCAGTAACAACAACAACAACAACAACAACAAAACCTTTTAGTCCCAAACAAGTTTGGGTAGGCTAGAGTTGAAACCCAACATGAGCCCCTAGTCTAAACATCAGTAACAAGACTATCTAATTTTATCAGCAAATCAGAAGCAGTATAATGTACTTTTAAACTTTCTTGTGGGTTCTGGGGTCGTTGAAGTAGATTTCTTTCAATTTTTTAGTTGTGTGTGTAGTGGCACTGCACTGCCAAATTTTTATACGTCTCAAAGTTAGGAAGACAACAGACAGAGGAACCTTGAAATTTTAGAGTTCCTTTCTGAAAAGGTAGAGTAGTTATGCATACTTGTTGAGTACTGCATGCATACTTTAAAATACTTGAAAACTTGTATTGTACCTTTGGTTGGGTAGCCAACAAGATGGAATATATTATTTGCTATTACTACTGACAGATTCCACACCGTTATGTCCATTGTTAAATTGGGCCCTTCTCTATGCTTACAATGTTCTTTACAATCAAGATATTAAAGAGGAGTTACTATAATACTTCTATCTAAGATCATGCGTCAAGACATTGTTCTAAAAATGGGTCAGCTAAGTCTTATACTAGGGTACATGCATGGATTTCCCCTTCCTATCACTGCATTACTTGTCTGGTTAGGCCATATATTACTGCTAGGTGGGTGGCAATGAAAAACATCTATAGAAACGTACTTCATATCTTTAAATCCAACTGTTTATCTGGTAGGACATGGTCTCTTTTTCTTTCTTTTTTCCAGTTCAACACCATATATGGGCCTGTCTGGCACATCTCTAGCTCTGAGATTATTAAAGGATTTTAGTTTATAGGATAGGATAAAATAATGTGATTTAAGCATGTGTTTAATCCAAATAACAACAAAATTGCTCAACCAAATGCCTTCATATGCCCACAGCTCCAGCTCGAACAATTCTTGGAGCTGGAGACAGGCCCTATGTTAGGTACATTGACAATGATGGTGACAGTTTGCTGTTGGGCTTTAGGTTCTGGAGTCTTTGCTTGGAAACAATTTTGTTCCAAATGACACCGAGCTTCACACGGATGGTGAGCACTGCCAGATTGTCACAGGACCAAACATGGGAGGAAAGAGTTGCTACATTCGCCAAGTTGCACTAATTACCATGATGGCGCAGGTATGTAAATCTCATGACATCCTTTATGGGAGCACATTGTGAATGTATTACATGATGACTTTTTTTTTTGATAAAATGATGACCTTGTTGTTGGACATTCGTTCAAAAAGCATTACTAGGGCCTTCTCCTACTGTCTCTAAAAAAGGAGTCATTTCTTTTAGCTGACAAACTTCATCATGATACTTAGATGATTCCTGAAAAACATCTTCATGTTTTTTGTAGGTTGGTTCCTTTGTACCAGCTTCATCAGCTATGTTGCATGTTGTTGATGGAATTTATACCCGAATGGGTGCATCTGATAGTATTCAACAAGGAACAAGTACCTTCCATGAAGAGATGAATGAAGCTTCAAACATATTGCGTAACTGCACATCTCGATCCCTAGTTATCATCGATGAGCTTGGTCGAGGCACAAGCACACATGATGGCGTCGCTATTGCTTATGCTACTTTACACTATCTTCTCAAAGAGAAAAAATGCATTGTCATATTTGTCACTCATTATCCAAAGATCCTTGATATTCAGAGAGAATTTGAAGGTTCTGTTGGGGCATATCATGTTTCATATCTAGCCACAAGGAAGCTTTTGGAAGTTACTGATAAACAGGTGGAAACTAGGCCAGAGGCAAATGATCTTGGAGAAATTATTTTCTTGTACAAACTTGTAGCTGGAGCTTCAGATAGAAGCTTTGGTCTTAATGTTGCCCTGCTTGCACAGGTTTGTTATGCTTATTTGTTAGGTTTCATGTTTTGCTGTTTTCATCTAGGTAGGGACTAAATTTTCATCGTCATGGTGTTATTGGTACCTACATTGGTGTGTCTAACTATCCAAATTATTAATGCATGTGTTCTGATTATCAGTCTTGCAAGTGCCGAATTCCGATAATCTTGACTACTATAAAAATATTATAGACATGGTTAATTTTGTCGTTTCTGCCTCATTGGAATGCTCTATGCAGCATTGTAGCAAATGTGTCCTGTGTTGATTGTTCCAGTAGTTGGGATGAACCCTCTAATTTATACGATAGCATTTATACACCAGCTACTATTTGAAGTGTGTCCTTTTCACATAATGTTTTGCATGTTGAGGCCCTGCTGAAGTTAGACAGTAGTAATGATCTCCACTGTTATACCTTGGTTACTAAGGTTGATCACTTGGTCCTTGCAGCTTCCATCTAGATGTATAAAGAGGGCATCAGTCATGGCAGCCAAACTGCAAGAAGAGTTAAGTGCGCGTGAGGAAAATAAGCTTCGGAGGACAATGGATGCACCAACCGTGGACGGACCATGTGAAAGTTCTGCAGAAGTTGGTTTGCTTTGTGCACAGCCTTACCAACGATTGGCAGAAACATGTCGCAGGGTACTGCTGAACATCACGTTGGCTCAAAGCAATAATGATGTAGCGAACACACTTCCTTCTTTGAAGAATGCGCAGGAAATTGCACGGAAGGCGATATAAGGCTCAAGGCTATCATATGAAGCAGTGACCCATTTGACAATTGACATATTCTTCATCAGTGTGAAGGCAACTTATCAGGTAACTATCTCCCCCATTCTGTTCACTTGGTTTTCGTGAAGCTATCATCCAACCACAGCTCCCTAAACTTGCACACTCGTGACGCACAGCTTTCTAAAGTTACATTGTACTTCCTGAGCTTCATAAAACTTTTAGCCTTCACCATATTGCTGTTTAGCAGAACTTGCCAACATGGCATAGTCAACTAGGTAGCACCTGGCATCATCACCACCACAATTTAGGATTTGTTCCCTCCTTTTTTTCCCCTCCTTTGTATTTCCACTTATTTCGTTGGCACGTGAGACTTTTTTATGCCACCATGGTTTGACTGGTCATTGTCTGCTCCCAACAAGTCCGGTAGTTTACTAGGGAAAAGGGGCAGTCGTGCAAGCTACGCCGCTCGGTTAGGGTGTTGAAAAGTTGAAAAGCAGAGTTTTAGGGATTATATGGGACACATCACACAACAGTGCAGTACAACAATTGCAGTTCTAGACTTCTTTTGAGGGAAACACTTGCGTTTATGGCTATACTATACAGCACTTGATGTACATTTGGCACAGCATTTTCTCCAGAGCTAACTTTCTGAGGATGCAGGTAGGAGCCGTAATGGTGGGAATCATTTTGCTGGAGCCGTTTCTGTAACCCATGCTCTGCGAGGATAGCGCGCTTAAGCATTTTGGCCACAACTCAAAGCAGTGCCTGTGCGTAGTCGGGGTTCTGATCTTTGCTGGCACCTTAGGGGGGTGATAGGCGAAGAACCTCGAGCCTGTACTGTACCAGCCATAAGCTTAACCTCTGGATATATACTGGAGTACTTAGTATGTAACTGACTAACTGTATATTCCGTTCCTGTATTTATCTAGAACTCGTTTCGGTGATGGAAATGCAGAGAAAAGATTCGTTTCCTTTTATATGTCTCATACAATACCTGTTTTCTTTGGCATCCTCGAATGTTTGTGCGGTACTCCTCTACACCTAGGAAATTTTCCTGGTTTGAGCTAGCAGCCAAGCTCGTTGAGAGAATCAGAGTTGGAAAGTGCAAGTGCTCGTTTAAGCTAGCTAGCAGCCTAGCTGCTACTCCTGCAGCCACAGCGCTGCTGCTGCGGTACCGCAGCTGCAGCGCTGTGGCTGCTGCAGCAAGCTCTTCCGAGCAAGCTGTTGCTGCTGGTTTCCTTTGTTGATTGAACAGTAAGAGTAGCAGCAGCGAGCAGAGAGGTGCTAGCCACCCTTTTGATGATCGTCCTCTTTTCTAAGCTTTGTATGGTGTAAGGGGTCACCAAGATATTTAAAGGAAAAGTCTGTTCTTTTGCAGCAAAAAATATTATAGAACACATTGGCTTCATCGTCAGAGGTCAATGGTCATAGGGTCACATTTATCATAATTAATTCTCTCATGCTTGACATGTTTTCAAAACAAGCCAAGAGCCATTTAAATTTTTTGGCTTTACCAAAATTGTTCTCAACGAACAAGATCGTATCATCTGCGTATTGTAGAGAGATACAATACCACTTGGGCAGACATTTGTGAGTAAGCCACTAATAAGATCACAGTTGACTGCTTTATTAAGAATTCTGGTATAGACATCTGCTACTAAGTTGAAGAGAAGGGGTGCTAAAGGATCCCCTGCTTAAGGCCTTTCCCCGGTTTAAAATAGGGACTATTTTGGTCATTGGTCCTTACACAGATCGAACCCCCTCTAACAATATTACTAATCCAAAAAATCCACTTATCTCCAAAACCCCTGGAAGCTAGCATTTATCAAGGAACTGTTAGCTTACCTGATCGCTACGTTTTTTCATAGCCTAACTTAAGGATCACACCACTTTATTGCTTATGTACCACGTCATGAATAATTTCATGTGTAGCCACGACACTATATAGGATGTACCTCTTTATAAAAACAGTTTGATTAGATGCAATTAATCTATCACAGATCAACATAAGCCTATTATTCAACACCTTGGAGAAATTTTTGAAGCTACAGTTCTAAAGGCTGGTGGGTCTGAACTTTTTTAGATGTTTTGGCTTCTGGTTCTTCAGGAATAAGGGTAATCATGGCACAGTTAAGTGTAGGCAAGCTGAGGTGACCCTTTCAATACATTTAACCAGGGCCATGAAATCCGATCTAATTGTTTTCCAAAAGTGTTGCTATAGAATATAAAAGAGAAGCCATCAGGGCTCACGAGACTCGAACTCGAAAACAGCGTCTTTAATCTCGTTTTCAGAAAAAGGCCTCTCCAGGAGGTCTTTCTCCAAGTTAGTCCGCTTTTCATCGTTGCCCCAAAAATCACTATCTAGAGTAATCTCTGAGTCGGGTTCTTTGCCAAAAAGATTTTTGTAAAAATCCACAGCAATGTTAAGCATGTCCTCAGTCTTACTTGGCCATCCGGACCTTCAAGGGTGGTAATGCCTTTCTTTTTCCTTTTTCTCTGGTTAGCGACAGCTTAAAAACAAGCTGCGTTTCTATCTCCTTTTTAATTTTAATCTCCCTATCGTGGCGGTCCCGTCGCTGAATCAGTGGGGTACAAGTAGCACTAGTGAGGAATATGCCATTGTCCGAGGATCAGAAATCCAAACAAATTTATCTGCAGATCAACAAAGCCCAGCCCCAGAGAGATTCAGGTCGCGCGCGCCGCACCGGCCACAGGGCAGGCTAACACGCTCCGCTCGGCTTGTTGCAGGCGCCAGTTTGGCTTGGCAGTTGGCCCTGTGGCGTGGCTTTGCCTCGTCCCCTCCGCCGCCGCTGCCGAAACAAGGGAGAGGATCGATCAGAGGAGGGGACACGCAAAACAAAACTGGCCCTTGGCCTTAACCCCTCCCCCAAGGGCAAAAGCCAACGCGAGCGCCAGGGCCAGCGAGTGAGCTCGCCTCCCACTCCCCCTCCTCGCCTCGCGCAGTCCTGTCGTAGGAATGGAATGAGGCCGAGGCCCCTCCGCCCTTCCTCCTCCTCCTCCTCGTCGTCGGCGCTTCTCCCGTGACAAGCCTCCGTTCCTCCGGTCCAGTCGCCCTCTGGCCCAATCCGTATCCACCCACCAGTACGTGAGCACTCACTCCGCCGTCTCTGTCTCTGTCTTCCGCTATTGTTTCTCTCGTCCCAACCTCTCCTTTTCCGCGGGTTTGATCTGGGTTTCCGATTGTCCTCGTGCTCGGCTACGATACAGGATAGGGTACGATGGATTTGTCCAGGTTCGCCTCCGGCGTCGGGCCCAGCCGCGCGGCCCCGCGGGCGGGCCTGCAGATCGGCGCCACCGGGAATGGCTTCCGGGCCTGCTCCCTGCGGCGAGCGCGGCACCGCGGCGGGAACGGGAGCCTCACGTCCTCCGCTGCCGCCGCCCTCCGCGGCCGCGGCGGGCTCTTCTACCTGGCTCCCACGCGCGGGAGCCCTCTCAGTCTCCGCGCCATAGGTCGGCCGCCGCGGTGCCAGGGCAGCGACTCATTGGCCTACGTCGACGGCCCGTTGGAGGCCGCCAAGGACTCCGGCGAGGTCAGCGACGAGGAGGCCACCAGCTCGTGGTCCGACGACGACAGGGGCCCCGGCCCCGCCGACGTCGACGGTCTCAGGGAGATGCTGCACCGGTCCAGGAACGAGCTGGAGGTGGCCAGGCTCAACAGCACCATGTTCGAGGAGAAGGCGCAGCGGATATCCGAGTCGGCCATCGCGCTCAAGGACCGCGCCGACGTCGCTCAGAGAGACGTGTCCGCGGCCGTTGCCACCGTGCAGGAGATCATTGGCAAGGAGGCAGACGCCAAGGACGCCGTCCAGAAGGCTACCATGGCGCTGTCGATGGCCGAGGCACGGCTGCAGCTGGCGGCGGAGGCGCTGGAGGCGAAGCGGGGGTCGGTCGGGCCGATGGAGGTTAGCATCGAAGGCGTGGAGGAGGAGGCCCTTGTGTCTGCACAGGAAGAGATTGAGGATTGCACGGGCGGCCCTGTCGCGGTGCGAGGAGGAGCTGGGACGAGTTCAGGACAAGAAGATGGAGTTGCAGAAGGAGGTTGATAGGCTGACGGAGCTTGCTGAGAAGGCCCAGTTGGACGCGTCCAAGGCCGAAGAAGATGTTGCCAATATAATGGTGTTGGCTGAGCAGGCGGTGGCTCTTGAGATGGAAGCTGCGCAGTGTGTCAACGATGCGGAAATGTTGCTTCTGAAAGCGGAGAAGGCCATATCCTCGGTTGACACTGTGGTGGAGCTAACGTCATCTGCTGAAGAGCAGAAAAGCGCTGAAGAGGATAGCGTTTCTGAAGGCTACGAGTATAGCAACGATGGCACTGATGATGTTTCTGTGAGGGATGAGGTGTCAAGTATCGAGCGTCTAATGGTTGGTGACTTGGCTGTTGAGGGCATTGAGCAGCTTGAACCATCCCGTGAAATATATGATGAAGCAAGCAGTGATAAGATGTCTGTTGAGCCTCAGAAAGAAGCTGAGCCTGATTCAGATAAGTCGAAGCAAGGGAAGAAGCAGGAAATGGAACGAAAGGAGGTCACCAAGGAACCACTGAGTGCTCCAAAAGCGCTGGTGAAGAGATCATCCCGCTTCTTCCCGGCATCTTTCTTCTCCTCCAAAGTTGATGGAGAGTTTACACCTACATCTGTCTTTCGGGGGTTAATGAAATCTGTGCAAAAACAGGCTCCAAAGCTTGTTGTTGGGATATTGCTTCTTGGTGCAGGGTGAGTCACATGACAACTGCTGTGTGTTTTTTAGGTTTTGCATTTTGCGGTAAGGATTTGATTTCAGATAACTGCACTCCACCAATTTACCTTGTTGGCTGTTATTTGTGTACAGATAAAAGCATACTTTCTGTATAGTCACCTCTTCTTTGCACTGAAAATTAGAAATGAGAATGGAAGTGTTTTCCTTATTATAACTGGTGGACATCATTTTCATTCATGTCAGTTAGGCAATACCTGAAGGGGTTTTGTTTTATGGGTCCTGTAGGGCATTCTTCTTAAATAGAGCTGAGAAGAGTCAACTATTTCAGCAGCAAGGCATTGCCACAAGTATTGGAAAGGTAACCTCCACAACAAAGCCCATAGTTCGTGAGATACGGCAAATTCCACAGAGAGTAAAGAAGCTAATAGAGCTCTTACCTCATCAAGAGGTACAATTTCCTCATCTGAACCTGCTCATCTTCTGATTTCATTTTGTGTACGTCTATGATATTCAACTGTTATAATGAAACTTAGCTTGCATGTAAATTCCTTATGCTCTTCATTTCTCTACTCAGGTAAATGAGGAAGAAGCTTCGCTTTTTGACATACTGTATTTGCTTCTGGCCAGTGTTATTTTTGTACCATTATTTCAGAAAATCCCTGGAGGTGAGATACATATTCTAATATTGTTTGTGCACAGCATGGTTTAGTAGCATCTGTAGCTTTTTGCATTATTTTGGTCACCCAAGGAAGTTTGCAATTGAACTAAACAACTCCCCTTCTGGTCTCATCAACTTGTACTGTTTTAGTGACAACTGTGCACCATGCTTTTCCTGAATTGAAATGCCTGGACTTCTGAAGTTAGGAGCTAGAATGCATGGACTCATGTGCATACAAAAGTTGGAAACATTTGTGATTAAGATCATCAGTTTTGTGACCTTCTGCAAATAAATTTTACCTTGATACCTTAGGCAGTCCTGTTCTTGGATATCTTGCTGCTGGTGTCCTCATTGGTCCATATGGGCTCTCCATCATCCGTAATGTGCATGGGACAAAGGCAATTGCGGAATTTGGAGTCGTGTTCTTACTATTTAACATTGGACTTGAGGTACACAACTAAGTGCCTTTGGATACTATTTCTTCTTTCAGCATATACTGGCTTAATATCCTGCACCTGCAGCTTTCTGTGGAAAGGCTAAGCTCGATGAAGAAGTATGTCTTCGGCTTGGGATCTGCTCAGGTTCTGTTCATGCTAACGCAACCATCAAACAGTTATCATTACTCAATTACTCCCTGATAAATTTGAACAATTGACAGGTGCTGGCTACTACTGCAGCTGTTGGTATGATAGCTCATCGTTTTGCCGCACTACCAGGACCAGCAGCAATCGTTGTTGGGAGTGGCTTGGCTCTGTCATCCACAGCTGTTGTCTTGCAAGTACTTCCTTGAAATCACACTTGTTTATCAAACTCTTGTTTCTTTGTTACTGATCGAACATATGAGCAGAAACATATACCCCTTATTAATATTCTCAGCTAATATGAGTTGCCATTTAGTATTTAATAAGCTACTAGGGAAATTTGTTTTCTTGCCACGCTTCAAAATGCCATGTTCAGGCACAAACTAGGTTTCATTTAGGTGAGTACAAAATTCTACTTCCTCCGGTCAAAGACACTTGACATTTTGGACAAAAGGCAAGGTCTCCATTCTGTCGCTTTGATCACTATTTACTATCTTTAATGCAATCAAATTGATATATTTTAAAAGTGCTTCCAACCCATGGTTTTCATGTTTCCAATTCAAATGTTTGACCGGAACCATGCCTGATTCATCGTGTTCACATGACTGGGAATTATATATTTATCTATACTTTCCAAGTTTTGTGATGATCATTTGTTCCTTGGCCTTTAAGCATTTAGTGTTCTGCTTTTCTAGGTATTGCAAGAGCGTGGTGAAAGTACGTCACGTCATGGGCGTGCTACATTTTCTGTGTTATTGTTCCAGGTATAACCTCACTGTGCTCAGATATGTTCCCTGTTTTTGAAATAACGCAGCTTATGCTTCAGCTTTCCATTTGTTCATTTCTTGCTAATTTACTTCAGCACATCATTTCTGTTCACAACTTTTAGATCACACCTCACAGTTGCATATCTTTATGCATCTTTTGCTGTTTACATCTGTGATGCATACGTGCTAGTATCGACTTGCATGGCATACTCATTCTGAAGCATTGAGAGCCTTCAATCCTTTAGTAATGTTAATTTAGCTTGCCTTTTTAATATATTTTCTTGTGTTGTCCCCAGGATTTGGCTGTGGTGGTCTTGTTGATATTAATACCTCTCATATCACCTAATTCTTCAAAAGGAGGGGTAACCATTTTATCTTTATGCTCTTTTCCTTGTCTGTGGACCTTTTGCTTATTGGTACACATTGGTACACATAGTTTATGTGCTTTATAGCCCAATGAGATTATGAGTCTACTGTAGCACGAGAAACTAGTCTGTGAAGACCAATGGTAGTATGATTTTTAGTGACTAGGAGCACTTCAAACTCATGTTGAATCAAAATTCCCATTGAATTTTTGTTGCTATTCGGGACCGTTAGAGTTTGACTGTAGCAATAGACATTTCTATATTTCAGATGGAATAGGTGAAATGCAAATTTGTAGCATTAGTGACTGATCGGCAGGATTATCCTTGTGCATGTTATTAAGTAAGAAAATTTGTTCAGTAGTCCTACGATATGTAAATTTTGGAAATAGCATCCAACTTGAGGATGATATATGGGGCCTGGGGCCACATGTGAGTGATGCAGCCAATGCCTTTCCCAGTTTCATGGTTTTTGAGGTGTCACTTAGGCGTTGAGGTGTACCCCAGGTGCCACAGGACGCCACAAGGTTTTAGTTACGCCATATCGCCTAGGTTTTAGTGCCACAGGACGCCACAACGCCTCAAAAACCATGCCCAGTTTACACTTCCTTTTGAACTGCTTGATCTTGAGGCCTTCGTTCAATATCTGTTTTTTATAGGTTGGTTTCCAAGCAATAGCAGAAGCCATGGGAATGGCTGCAGTCAAAGCAGTAGCTGCTATAACTGCCATAATTGCTGGAGGTCGTCTGGTGAGTTGACTGCTCATTTACATTAATTTGCTTATCCTTTCTGGGACTTTTTTGTATGCCATACGTAGACTCTGGGCCCAGCTGGACATGGGCATGTTTCCTAGCATGCATGCATGCATGTTTCTGTTTTTTCTCCTTGCAACTGCATTTATCTGAATTTATCTGCAACTATTTAACAAGCATTTTCCATTTTGTATCAAACAGTTGCTCCGGCCTATTTACAAAATAATTGCTGAAAATCGGAATGCTGAGATATTTTCAGCAAATACACTCCTTGTTATTTTTGGCACAAGTCTTCTTACAGCCCGGGTTCGTATTCTATATGTTTATTTCTAGCCTTTGCATTGCTTAAAACTACTTTTGATTCTATGGTACTACTATTCACAGGCTGGGTTATCAATGGCACTTGGAGCTTTTTTGGCTGGTCTGTTACTAGCAGAAACGGAGTTCTCCTTGCAGGTTGAGTCAGATATAGCTCCCTATCGTGGTCTTCTGTTAGGACTTTTCTTTATGACGGTGAGTACCGTGAATATAATTTCATCAAGAATTATTTCTTTAACACTGATATGCTGCTAGTGTTATGTTTCAAGTGTTCCTAACCTTGTACCATCATCATGGGTATCAAATTAAGTTACCACGGACTTGCTACTCTATTAGTTACTACCTCCATAATCTTTTGTAAGGCACGGCTTGACATGACACGGTCTCCCAAATTATGCTTTGACCATTTGTTTATTTTATAATATATTTTTTGTTATAAACTTATGATAATTGGATAGTATATTTGATTACGAATCTAACCGTATCAAGTTTGTATTATAATAATTAAAAATTATTAGCTAAATTGTTGGTCAAAGATTTTAAAGTTTGAATCTTGATATGTGTGTGTGCCTTATAAAAGAACATGGAGGGAGTATTTAACTTCATATTAAATTCTCAGTACATAATTTACCATTTTTTCAGTTGAGAACTGTAGATGGAACCATTTTCGCGAGTTCCTCAGACGACAAATATTTTTCTTATCAGAACAATCTTGCCAGTAAATGTTATCAGTGTAGCATCATACATTACAGTCTAGCCCCACGCGCTATTCCTCCTCCCCTGCACTCTATTCCCTGTCTCCTGCGCACCTTCTTCCTCTCCAGTGAAGTTGTCAAGCCGCTGGCGCCCTCTGCCAGTTCAAGTCACCGCTGCTCTTCATGATGAGTCCTCCAACGGTGTCTGCCCTTTCCCTCCTCCATCCCTCAGTCCGCAACCTCTCTGCTAGTCTGCTTGCTTGCTGTGCTGCCCCTCTGCTACTCACTTGCTGATTCTCCATCCTGAGATATGGAGTTCTGGACAGTGGAGAAATCAACTCTCACAAGTCACCAATTAACCACTAATATAGTCTTGATGCTTGCTTTATTGTGTATACTATATAGTATACATAGGTATATATATAATATGTATATGTCTTGAAATATATAGGATGACTAGGACCGAATAGGCTCAACTAATTGGTCTGGTCGATGACTAATCGCAATTAGTCACCTGGTCGGTCCCATGGCGACTAGGTTCGACTATACGAAACATTGTATGTTACCCAAATAAAGTATCTTTCAGTGTCCTCTTTCATCAGCTTGTCAAATAAATGCATTTTTTTTTTGTGTGTGTACATTGTCATCTGTTAGGTAGAATCAAATGTATGCCAATAATCAATGCTCGAGCGCTTATTTATCTGCTGATTTTGCTTGTCCAACATCAAGGTATTTTTATCATTTTAGGATGATGAGAATTCCTTGCTTAAGTCTTACATTGAGGTTTGGTTTTCCAGGTTGGAATGTCTATTGACCCAAAGCTGCTTCTGTCAAACTTCCCAGCAATCTCTGTGATATTGGGTCTCTTGATAATTGGAAAGACATTATTGGTTACATTTGTCGGCAGGGTGTTTGGGGTTTCTACTATAGCTGCCATTCGTGTTGGCCTCTTGCTTGCACCTGGTGGTGAGTTTGCTTTTGTTGCCTTTGGAGAAGCTGTCAACCAGGTAACATATGTCGTTTTTTTTTTTTCTCAAACGATGCAGGAGAGCTGTGTCATTTCATTAAGAAGAGAATAAAACAACGGAGGAGAGGCAGAGCCTGCTCCCCCCAAGTAACCAAGTACAGGACTCTTAGCTCCACACACTAGGAAAAAACACATGACCACTGCCCAACAAACGCCTAAGCAGCCATAGGTAGCAACCTACTAAGAAGCTGTTGCAGAGCCTTAGCTCCAGCCCAACACCACAATATACATTCTTCAGAAACTACAGCTAGAACACTTTCTGTGTCACAGGTATCTAGTACTCTAGACCTACTTCTCCTGTACACAATATATAGTTGATCATAGGAACATCTATAGTTGTTTTATGACACGAATCATATGATTGTTGTGCTATGGATAGATGTTATAGAGCAGAGGGAAAACTAATGAACACACTATTTTACAGGGTCTTCTATCACCTCAATTATCATCGTTGCTATTTTTAGTCGTTGGCATTTCAATGGCTCTGACACCATGGTTAGCTGCTGGAGGGCAGTTTCTGGCATCAAAATTTGAGCAGCATGATGTGAGGAGTTTATTGCCCGTGGAAAGTGAGGTATTTGTTTGTTCTGACTTTTGCTTCTTGCTTCGTTTACAATGTTACATTTTATGTAATTTTGGCCAAATTCCTGCAAAAGCACCTTCGGTCTGCCATATCTCTAGTCTAACCTGCCATGTAGAATACAAGTTTCAATTGAATGCCTGATTGTGTAGCCAAGTTTGTTCCCTGTGTGAAATGTAGCTAGACTCATTTGCCATTTGATATTTGTGTGATTGAGTGGTCCTGACAATGTTAAGAAATCAAACAACTCAGTGGCCTTGTTTACTTTTTTGTGTGTGTTTCAGTACTTTTGATTATAGTAGTTTCTTGTGGCCAGCCCTAAGATTATTTCCATTTATGCTGATTGACAATTGTAATATCCAGCGGGAGATTCTAATTATGAACGAGCTAAAACTTAGAACTAGGTGATTCTATCTCTTCAGATGGTTACCGAGATACTGAGGATGATTGATGAGCACAGTGGGTGTATTATTCTGTTTCAGTTTAGCAGCCATGACCCACCCAAGAACTGGCAGTAAAATAATGAGTGAGAGTTACATTTTTTTTTTGTTTGTACAAGAATAATGTGGATATTGCATATGCAGAAACAATGCTGAAGTTTGGCTAGAATTGTTGGTAGTTATAACTTTAGCTGAAGCATCTGTCTCCTATCTCAGATAATGATCAAAGATGAGAAAAAAAAAATCTAAAATCCAATCAGTTCAGGTATCAGCTGGTGCAGTAGCCATTTTAGATGAGCAATTAACCAAAGAGCTTATGCCAGACAAAAAAAACACATGGTGGTGGGATAGTATTTCCCCAACTTGCTTGGGACTGACGGGCTTTGTTGTTGTTATTGTTGTTTGTGGTGGTGGTATAGTATTGCTTCTTGTTATTATAATCTGCCAAGTTTGTAGTCAAATAGCATGCCAGCTCTTTAATATCCTTTATTCCTTTAACATGTCAATTTTCGCCTAATGTTGCTGTCTTCTGTTTTTTCTGTCTATGTATGTAGACTGACGATTTGCAAGACCATATTATTATATTAGGCTTTGGACGTGTTGGGCAGGTTGTATTGCAATCCTCACACACTACTATTTTTTCCATGTCTGACTGATCCTAATAAATCTGTTTCCCACTTACTAGATCATTGCGCAACTCCTGTCAGAGCGGTTAATCCCTTTTGTTGCACTTGATGTTAGAAGGTATGGTGCTTCTTGCAATAACCTGAATTTTAAAGAAACCATGGATAGCAATTCAAAACCTTAGTGTTTGTTCTGAATTAATGTTTAACCATGAAGTATGGCTGCATGAACCTATGCAGATTTAAGTCTGTAAGTTACTGTGTAGAGTTGGGATGGTTGATACCATATTTTAGGCTAATGTGGGACCGCAGTTCGAATGTATTAAATCCACAAAATAAAATAAACTTTCAGGCAGACTCTTCCAGGAATTCAGGAAAATGCTAGCAAGACCCGCAATCTGATGGTTGCATGTCTTAACCTTTTTTTGGAACCAAATCATCCGTGTTCAATTTATCCACATTAGTGGTCAGGTCATCCAAATTTTCTTTTTTCTGATGCATATTTTCTTTGTCAGCGATCGGGTAGCAGTTGGGCGTGCACTTGACCTTCCAGTGTATTTTGGGGATGCTGGAAGCAGAGAGGTAGGGAGAGTTCGTTTATATTTTAATAACACATATAGCTTGTTGAGAGTACTGTTCTAAATTGAATTTTAATAGGTACTGCACAAAGTTGGAGCTGAAAGAGCTTGTGCTGCTGCAATTACTTTGGATACTCCTGGTGCAAACTACAGAGCTGTCTGGGCATTGAGCAAATATTTCCCAAATGTGAAGACATTTGTTAGAGCACATGATGTTGATCATGGTGTTAATTTGGAGAAAGCTGGTGCAATGGCGGTACGTGGATATTACAGAGCATTCTTGGTGATAATGGTTTCCTGATGCAACTTTTATTGACCATATACACTTACAATTTCTATTTGCAAAGAGAGAGTTCTATTGCTTTTATCATAATGTGACCAAGCATGCACCTAAAGTACTGTGTAACTTTTGTTGCTATTATGCACTATCGGTAGTTTCCCTTATATCAGATACCTTATTTCACATGTAGTACTTATAACATATCTTCTGATGGATTTGTGTGAACAATTTGAAGGTTGTCCCTGAGACCTTGGAGCCAAGTCTTCAGCTAGCTGCTGCTGTTCTTGCACAAGTAAGCTCTTATTTGATTTTACCATCCACTGTGCTTATTAGTAATGTATGGAATTTGATGCATATGCTTCATTTCAGGCAAAATTTCCAATGTCAGAGATTCAGGAAACCATCAGCGAGTTCCGGAATCGTCATCTGTCAGAGCTTACAGAGGTGTGTAATTATGTCATCATTCAGTGGTCTGCTAAACTTATTGATGATATTTGCAACAGAAAGCTTCTGACAAACAAAAAGATAAGCAGTAAACCAAGGCAAAGCAAATTTCCAAATGGTAGTAATTCAAGGATAGCTGTTGTAGAATCTGTAGATGTGTGTTGAAGTAAGCTTGTGATGACAGTCTCATGTTAGTAACTAGTTACATTGTTATATGATTAAACACTAGCCATTTGCTAACTGGAACAGTGATGGTATACACTATACAATATAAAGATCCTTCTGACTTTTAGCTCGGTGAAGCCAAAGCCCAAAAATCAAATTAGTAGACTATCGTATACCAAAGGAACAAATGGGTGCAGTTCGTTTCTAATAATACATGTAGTGTAATGGACATCCAAATTTTTTTAAATATAGCAAGTCTTAGATGATTTTTTTTATGTTCTTGAGTTTTGAGGTTTTCTGAAGTCCATGTAATATGACACCATGTTGGAAAATTTCTTTTTCTATCAGGTTCATACAATCTGTGCTGAGTTCATGCAATATAATATTGAGCAATATCATTAAATTTTTGTAACTATATCTGATGGCCTTTTGTTGTTCCCTTTACAGTTGTGTGCTACGACAAGAAGTTCTCTTGGCTATGGGTTTTCCAGAGTTGCTTCCAAATCGAAGTCTTCCGATGATGAAAGCGAAACAGTGGATGGTGCACTAGCAATTTGATGCCGATTAGATAAAATGGGATCCCTTGATAGTACTAGATTGATTGCACACAGTAGATAATCTTGTTGCATGTAGAAAGAGAGTGGAATAATAATTCATGCAAGAGCTGTCACAAAAGTTGGCGTGCAATTTTGTATGTTAGAATACTTATATATTTCTTATATATATATATATATATATATATATATATATATATATATATATATCTTTTCCCATATTTTTTGTTGCCAGCTATGTAGCCCAAAAAAATGTTTGCATACACTTAAATAAAAACGGCGTGGCTAGCTCTGAAACACGTGCAATACCAGATGAAACATATATTTGAAACGCATGAAAACTTACGGAGCTCGATGCCATGAAGTGACCGAAAAATTTGGACCAGCACTCAGCTGCCAATGGTCAACCATCACGAAAGCAGTAAACGGCCCATGTAGATGTGGGCCCGCGCTCCTCTACAAACAGGTGAGCAAGCGGCCTGGGCGGCCCTACAACTGGCTAATCTAGTTGGCCAAAGCAACAACACTGCGGGCAGCAGGCGGCAGGGGCAACTTGGCCTGGGCACAGACAACACACAGAGAGAGAAGAGCAGGACAGCAAGCATCATTGGGCCTAGGCGCTAAGCAGCAGAGGGCAAGCGCGATAGGGAGGCCTGTGGCCCTGGGTGCGTGCGGCTAGGGCTAGGTCGGCTGGTCCAGCCAGCAGCGGATGCAACAAGGAGCCTCTCTCTGTGGTCACGCACATGCACGTTTTCCCACGTGTCGCATGCACCCCGACGAGTGGCCGCGCAAGCTCGCATACGCTGCCCTGCAGAAATGACGTGTATGGGCCTGCACGCCCCCCTCTTCTTTTTTCTTGCGTCACACGCGTGGGGTTGTTTCGTCCGTTCGTCCAGACGTCCTCAACCAAGCATTATAAAAAAAAAATACACTCTAGTCGTTCACGTGAAAACGAGGCCCTTATAGCTAGGGATAAAAATGGACCGAAAAATCCCTTTCTTGTTTTTGTTTGTATATTTTTTTTAACGAAAATGGGACTAGATTCGGAAAAGCCACAATCGAAAAAAGGAACCAGGATGTGTGAACATATGAAAGCGGACAAGTGCGGATGGAAAGCCTGAAAATTAAGTTACAATTATTATGCAATGAAAGTCACACGAATCTATACACGTATGAATGTCTAATATTCACTTGCATTTCTAATAAGTAGTATTCACGTATCCCATAGTCTTCTTCTGTGGACGGAGATGGAGTACATTGTGCTGCACGACACACATGACACATGACACATGCAGGACTGGTGCACACAGCATCCATTGTGCTCCCAGCCTCCCACCTTCCGGGTGCGCGCGGCGGCATCGCGTAGGGGGGAAAGCGGCTCTTGTCGTTGCCTGGAACTTCGTCGTGGTCACCATGCATGCACGGTCATCCTCGTCGGCGCGTCGGCATCTTCGTGCCGCTGCGCATATATATGGCCGACGACAAGCTCAGGGATGGAGACAACGGACACGGAGCAACGGCTGGCTGGAATGGTAATAACAATGCAGCAGTTGTCAGGTTCGTCGAATTGACACCGTCCAATCCAATAGACATCTTATTGTAATTCTGTTGCTTGTATCGACTAAAATTTGTACTAAAATAAACTTTTAGTTATGGAGCCACCTAATTCAAGTAGTTTTTTTTTTCTATTTTCAAAGTACAATTATTCATGCTGTCTTTTGATAGATGTATATATGTACTCCCTCACAAAAGAATAAGAAATTTGTGTCAAGTTTAAGTTTGATCAAGTCTATAGTGAAAAATGTTAATATTTATGTCTCTAATAAAATTTACTACTAAAAAATATTTCATAATTAATCTAATGGTACCCATAAAATTTACTAACATTAATGTTAGTATCTTTTCATTAACATTAGTCAAAGTTTAAATTGTTTGAAAGCGAGAATTACATCTTTTTATGGATAAAGAGAGTATGTAATTTCTTAGTAACATTGGTCTCCTCAATAAATCCTAGAAGTGCACTTATTTTGGGAAGGAGATAGTAAATTTTGATCGTTTTGGTCTATTTTCTTATGCGTTAATCCTATTAGTTTGACCACATTTTATAAAACTAAATAGATCTAGATGAACTTGCATGCCTTCGTCCATTCATTGAAATTTATCTTCATTCTTTCTTTTGTCCAACCTTTTACTCAGGAGAGGAGCCAGAGCAAAAAAAAAAAAAAAGTGACTCCTCAAGTGCTCCGGCTCCTTCGGAGGAGCACATGTAGCATAGCCTGTCAAACAGGCCCTTATCGATTAAAATTTGTTCTAAAATAAATGCACTTCTAGTTATGTGACCACCAAGCTCAAGTAGTCTTCCAGCTTTCTCTATTCCCCAAATACAATTATTACATGCTGGAACAACTTTTAATAGAGGTGTATATATATTTAATTACTTAGTAACATTGATCTCCTTAACGAATTCTAGAAGTGCACTTTATTTTGATGAGGAGTAACTTTTGGTCTATCTTCTTAATTATATATGTTAATCCTATTAGTTTAACCACGTTTTATAAAACTAAATAGATCTAGATGAACTTTCATGCCTTCCACTCACTGAAATTTATCTTCGTTCTTTTCTGTGTCCAACCTTTGGCTGTGTCTTTTATGATAGGAAAAATCAACAAAAGGCTACTAGTTTCATGGTGGGGAAGAAGTGTAGGCTCGGCAGACGTAACGAGCTCGGTACTAGGGTATTTGATTTCAAAGGCGGCGAGCAACAAGACTCCGTGGTATGGGGCTACATGGGCACCATGTGCAGAACCACGTCACTAGGGCGCGAAGCGTCACTCACATTGGAAATGCGAATAACCAGACTGTTCGCTTGTTGATTTCAACAATAAACCAGCATCAACCGGGCTGAAACGTGCGGAGATGTTTAAGTGGCAAGCTTACAAGGACAACCGAGAGAGCATCAACCAGACCAAGGTTTCTCAGAGAGCGGCTCGCGAGGTACAAAGAGCGCCGGCCGGCTCAAGTTTGGGCTCTACCTGGGGCACCACACAAGGGGAGGTTGTCCGTCGTGGTCGTCAGCCATCTGAAGCACATGCCGCTCAAGGAAGCACTCAGAAGGTCGCGGCTAGCGCCCTGTTCGTTTGGCTTATAAACCGTATTTTTTTAGCCAATGAACAGTATTTTTCTCTCACAACAAATCAGCCAACAGTACTTTCAGTCATAGCTTATCAGTCAAGCGAACAGATCATAGACCTCGACAAGAGGAGACGCATTCTTGAGAGATACAACGCTCGTCGTCAGCCTCCTGCTCTTTCGTCACCTACAGCTAAACTTGTGCTGTACACAGTTTGCTCCGTGTTCTTGGCTTGTCTGATTATATTATGTTAGAGAATATTTTTTATTACAATTAACTGTAGTATGCATTTTTTATTTATTTGGAACCATCTTGATGCATAAATAATAAATATAATTCACAAATACAGGTTCAAACATTGTATCGATTATTTCATCACCAAGATGGCTTCAAACAAAAAAGTTGTGAGCTACAAAATCATAGGTCACCTTGCAGGGGCGGATCCAGCAGTGGGGCAGGGGGGCTCAAGCCCCCCCTACCCATCCTAAAACAGTGCAAATTACTGTAGAGCCCCTATGAATTTTTAGGCAAAGTTCTATAGTGTAGGGAGGCTGAGACTTAAGATCGAGCAGCAGTGTTGTTCAGTCCCCCCTAAAATATTTCCTGGATCCGCCGCTGTCACCTTGAGCACCGTAACGTGTTTACAAGTTTATTAGAATGTATGAATTTTATAGATCCTTTTCAGTTTTCTTAGAACTAAATATAATATTTCAAAGCTTCTAGAGATATTTTTATGAGCTATATAAATATTTTATTCGGTTTTCTAGCGTCCTAATATACTATAAGATTTTTCTCAAAATTTTCATAAGTTTGACGATACATTTTGTGGTTTAAAACCTTATCAAGTTTCTATTGGTTTGATTTTTAACTAAAAATGGTAAACTGTCTTGAAAACCATTTCTAACCAGAACATGAGGTTAATTTAAATGATTTTGAGAGTTGAAAAAGACAAATTGCTTGGTTGTTTTTTTCCTCAATTATTATAGTACGGACATAGACACTCGTATATGTATATCTTAATTAACATGCATGTACTTTTAACATAAGTGTACATTTTAACATACATGTACATCTTGAGATGGAAACGTTGGGCTTGTACGATAGTCCGAGGTGAAAGGAACTTTTTTTTTCCAGAAGTGGGGCGTAGGCGTATTCACAGGCTTCGGCAGCGCTACTAGCTGAATTGCATGCTGTCGTTTTTCCATCATATATCCTTTCTATTTATGTTTACTTTTTTTACCTCTATAAAAAATGTTAGTTTTCACCTTAAAAAATTATGGTTTCTTCTCGAGTTTCCTACAAATTCAAATGCTGTTCAAACAATCGAAAAAATACCGTTCAAAGGATTCATGATGTAAAATGTTACAAGTGCTTTTGCATGGCCTGGGTCGTCGTCATTGTTCAGATGATTCTCTATCAAACTTGACGCAGGTCGCGAACTGGTTGACCGTTTTGGATGGACCTTCTGGTGTTTTAAGCATCAGAACCTGCAAAACACAAAGGTGCATAGAATCATTGGTCCAAATAGACAAAGTAACAACAAGCTCTACATAATAAAGAGTGTAAAGCACCTAGTACTACCTTAGGATTATTCATATTGCTTCCGAAATAACCAACACCAAATGATGGCGAGGAATAGGCAGCAACCAGCTCAGCGGCTTCCAGTTCAGACAAATCCCCTCCCTACCAAAAGATACATGGTTCAGCTCACAGTGGAGGGGCTTACCCATCCAAGATCTAAGCAGATGGGATTGCAAATACTCACCTTTAGAACATCAGCCTGAACTAGCAACAACCCAGCGCCTGTGTCATGAGACATCTTGCTGCTGCTTTGAACCACAGAGCGGAGAACTTTAGTGCATGCAGAAGCAGGACCAGATTGTGACCTGACAATATAATACATATATATTCAGACTTACACTTGCAGGGAATATTTGCTGAAAAATTATGTAGTTGTTTAGTCCTACTGACATACTGAACAGATGTAAAAAGGCAAAACAGAAAAGGAAAGGAAAGGAAAAAGAAATGATCATACAACGATGATGAGATGCAACATTCACGGGCAGCAAATCCTCTAATCAAGTGTTCTCCAGCTCCAGTTGCACAACAACCAACCAAGAATGGTGTACCAAAGGGTCCTTTGGACGAAGCCCAGCACCCAGATCCATACATAGCTGCCAACCCAACCCGGCCATCTACCTGACAAGTGCTATGACATCAGTCTGCTTTTCTTAGAACCAACAGAACAATGAGAAGTTTATGCTAATGCTAGAGTAAATATAAATTTCATGAGAATCATACTTACTTATCCAAAACAGTGTAAACTAAACTAAAAATAAGAGGATTTTCAAGGGACAACCATTTATTAGAAACTTTGAACAAGAACTGATGAGAACAATGACCAGCAGACCGACCTTCAGGGCAATACCACCACTAGATGCACCTGATGCTACATTTCCGTAGCTATCTACACAAATGACACCAACAGTGTCCATTACGCAATCTGTATTGTCTTCCATGAATGACTCTGTTAATATCTTCTTTACATCAGCAATATTCTCAGATTCAGTTCCTACAATCAAAATTGACACAGGTCAGACAGGTGGAGCAGGAAGCCTTTCATTTGCTGAAAATATAGTCCAAAAATCACTATCGCTACCATAGAGAAAACAAGTGCAAGAATGTAACATTAGTACCACATTCCTGAGACTCTCAGTAGAGTAACTAAAAATTTGAGTGGTGACATAAATATTTTCTGTGCTGATATCATACCACAAGTCCAAATGAAAGTAGTGCATAATGTGTTAGGGACAAATGGATAATTACTAAATGTCCAACTGAACTCATACCAACCAGCAATGTTATCAAATCGTCTAATTGATCATAGTCGCCATGGCACCGATCAGCCCAACTAATTGCGATTAGTCACGATTAATCATGACTAATCATAGTACATAGCTGATAACCATGGCACCGATCAGCCCGACTAATCGCATTAGTCAGACGACTTGGTAACATTGCCAACCACTGTGCTGTGTTTTACTTTTACATAAATGCTGATATCTGTTGGACATTGTGTTCATGAAAAATATGAAAATTGTATATACAAAATCTTTTGACAGACGATAATGAAAAAAAAAAGTAAATACCTAGCAGAATAGAATTTGGCAAGTAACAAAATAGAAGTACAAAGTAGGGCTAAGTTCTCAGACAACCTAATAGTCATTGAATATCATTATGTTAAGGAAATAAAGTTAAATATTCAGATGATATTTCAACTTACACAAGGTGGAAGTTTGAATAAAATATCATACAGATTAATAAAACATTAAAGTGTAACCCGAATAAGATAAGTAGCAAGTAAACATGGAGGTAACCTGGTGCTTCCAACTGTACTGAATGTTCTGAAGCAGAACCAGTGTTATGCTCTAATAATTTCTTGGTATTAACAAGCAATGATGTGTATTTCACCCACTGCGCTCTTGCATTCTCAGTCACCAACCACTGTTTGAGAACATAAATGTTCCAGCCAATCAGGAATGAATAATTGGTTTAGACAACAGAAAACAAGAAGGGACTCACATTATTAGCCCCCGATGCAGATTCAACTAGGTCCATTCCTTTAGATTTTGCCCATTGATATGCTCCTTCACCAACCAGAAACCTATAACAAGGAATAGTTCAATATTTAGATAAAGAGCTAAGATGGGTGATAGGTTAGTAGTAAATTAACAAAATCAACATAAATGAGTGTTGAATATATTGTGCATTGATCAGATTACATCCTGAAATGAAATTGTAAAGGGAACTTTGTATGTAACTGGTTCAATGGATAAAGCAATAGCTTGCATTACAAGATGAGATGCAAATCATGCAACTTTGAAGAACATGTTACTATAGTGCACAAGTGAACAAAACATATGGGCAAAAAATTACAGGGGAAAACAGGAAAAAAGTGGAGAAGATACTCGGTTTTTATGATTACATGGGGGGTATCCGACCAAGCAATGACGATCCTGCCATTTGTTCCTTTGCCAGGTGCAAAGCGACTTGGATTGGATTCTTTACATCTGATCTACAAGAAACAGAAAATATGGTCAGAGCTGGGGTCAAAGTTCACGGGACAAACATATTAGCATTTAGCACTAGTTTTCATTTCATAGTACTTTGTTATAACCTTCCATGTCCCAAATTATTATAAGTACCTCGAATAGCTCCAACAGCTCCAAAAAAACCAGTACTTCCATCCATGATGCTTGCATCGCATTCCACATGACCACTCTCAGTCAAATTTGAACCCCGGCCAGCATTTGTGACGGGATCATCCTAGTTAGTCAGATATGAGAATTAACAGATTCAGATACCGTTTAGCTTAGAACAAGCAAGGATTTTCCCAGAATATACCACTAAACCTTTACTGTAGTTAGCATGCAAATATTAGGAAAAACATTTTGAAATCTGAAACAACACATATCACATACTTGTTTCATTTATTTGCACAATCTATATCTTGATCCCAATGTTTTCAAGATTAATTATACATAGGCACTACAAGAGTAAAACTACAGGAAGTCATAAAGCGTAATAATACTAACCTCCAAAACTTGAATGGCAGCTGCAACAGCATCCAGGCTTATGCCACTGCCCTGGAAATGTACAAAACATCATCAGGAATCCACTACTGAAAATAGAATCTGCAAGGATGGATCTGAAGGTTGCATTTCAACATGATCAAAATATCACATCATAGTGTACAAGTGCACATCAGCACATGGTGCAAATGTTAATGGTCCAGCACAACCTGAAGATATCCTTTAAACAACAATCACCACCTGAAGCTACAGTAATAAAATCAATGACCTAGAAACCCCATATTTATAGAACTGAGGACAAGCAGGCCATGGCCGGCTCAGTTTATAATGCACCACGTCTCCCTAACTGAAATGGACAGTGTGTCCAAACTCCCAATCCCAATTAAACCCTACGCACTCAACAATTCATACAGCGGCTAAAATCCAGGCGCCACGCCATACCAAATTACCAAGCCATGCCAACAAGCAACAGGAGGGAGAGAGTGGGTCATAAAAGGATAAGAGCTCGATGACCGGACCTCGCGGAGAACGGCCGCAGCGGCGAGGCAGGCGCGCTTCATGGCCCTGCGGTACGCCTTCTCGTTCGCCGGCGCGTGGAAGCCGGCGCCCACGTGCAGCGCCACGAAGAACCTGCGGGTGGGGATCCTGGAAGCGCTCGCGTTCTCCTCCCCGGCGCCGACGGCCGTCTCGCTGGCGCCGCCGCAGGTGGCCATCACGACGAGCACCCTTGTGAAATTATCAGCTGGGACCCTTGTGGAGCTGGATTTTACGCTTCGTATGTTTTGCAAATGAAAAAAATTGCATATTATTTCAGTTTAGCCCCTTGTGAAGGTCATATTAGTGGTCATAGAACTTTTGTCTTCTAAAAGTAGAAAGAATATTTCCACATCTCCTTATACAGAAGATAGAGTTTCCTTGTTCGTGCAACGCTACAATTTTACAAAGCTGCCAAGTTTTTTTTTTTTGAAACGAAAGGCTGGCAAGCTTTTTTTTTTTTAAAACGAAAGGCTGCCAAGCTTTTGGTTTTATAAAAGTGCATGCGGATTTTATAAAAATTGTTGAGTCGTTTGAGTTAAGTATTGCTTCATTAGCATGAGAGTGTTTGGTACTATTTGGTTCGGTGATTTTTGGGTGTAATAGAATCATGCTACAATCACAAAGTGATAAAGTTACATTCGTTGGTTTCACGAGCTCTGCAATTTATTTATCTTCTTCGTTAAGTAGCAAACGTGCGCGTATGCAGCAACATGACTTAATGTTAGAAGATTTAGGGGGACCCAAATAATATTTCTAAATAAATTCCAAAAGCCCACTCACACATGTATGCTATGGTGGGGACCCTAGGACTTGTTTGGTTTCATCCACTAAAGTTTAGTGGTTTCTAAAGTTTAGTGATTCTTGTTTGGTTTTATCCATTAAAGCTATTGTTCCATGTACACTTTAGTCACTTTTAGCTATCACTTTGTGACTAAAAGCCACTAAACTTTAGTGATCCCTAAATTTTAGTGGGAGTGTTTGGCATTTTAGTGAGTGTTTGGATCCAGTGACTAAAGTTTAAGAGGTGTCGCATGGGGTGTTCGGATACTAATAAAAAACAAATTATAGAATCCATCAGTAATCCTCGAGACAAATTTATTAAATATAATTAATCCGTCATTAGCACATATATTACTGTAGCACCACATTATTAAATCATAAACTAATTAGGCTTAAAAAATTTATCTCGTAAAACAGTCTCAATCTGTGCATTTAGTTTCGTAAATAGTCTATATTTAATACTCCATGCATGTATCAAATATCCGATGGGACAGCGACTAAAGTTGACTAAAATTTAGGAGGTGGAACCAAACACCCCTTAGTGACTAAAGTTTAGTCAGGAGGGGTGAACCAAACAAGCCCTTAGTCCCACATTGCTACTCTAGAAGAAGTGAGGCCAACTTAAATGGTTGAATTGTCTACTACTAGTTGAAGCTATTGAGGAGAGGAAAAGAAAGAAATCCACACGCGCGCTTGCTCGCCTCGCCCGACTAGGCGATGGGCGTGGGCGCGCTACATACGCATGAATGGTTCGGCGATTTCTCGCCTCGACCTTGCGGGGGCGCGACTTCCTTTTGCTTCTCTATATTTTTGCATGCATGGAGAAAATTACGCTGGCCTATTTTGGCAGGCAATTATTCTTGCATTAATGGTGATTGCTTTAGTCGACTAACGGGAGGTCAATCACGTTAATGTTGTGATTGTGCGGCTAATTACTTACCTTAGCTGCGACGCAGCGTGTATATATTGAGACGAGACGTCATCCTCATTATAGAGAATTCATCTCTTTCCTTCCATCGTGTTTGTCTTTCGTCATCGCCGCGTCATTTCTCATCCATCGCCGACATGACCTCAAACTCGGGAGAGAGGTCTCCGGGCTGAATTGTGAGAGACATCTCCTCGTGTCCTGCACTGCGAGATAAAAAGCGAACTTGTCGGTTTTTGGGAATCGCCTACATCTCCTTGTCCATTTGCGGGATAGGGGCGCATCAGGTTTTTGGGAAGCACCATCGCGATTGCTCGCTCGACGTCTTCCTCCCTCTACACCACCGGTGTACGTGAATTTTCGTCGACAACCCCACTGTAAGAATGTCTATTCTTTCTCTGTTGTTCGTTCAGTATGTTCCTACTGTTACTAGCACTAGATAGCTTGAGTTTGCCTCGGATCATAGTGCTAGTGATAAATCATACACTTATGATGATACATATTGTTGTTCTTTTTCTCATTGTTGGAATTAATTTATGCGTCACTAAATTGCTATTATTTCCAACACAATATGTCTTGAGATCGAAATCTGTACTATTACTAGATGCGAGTAGTTCTAACTTAGTATGAGCACTTATTAATGAGCCTAGGTCACAAACGAGACATGGAGAGCAAAGGACTAGATTTGAGCAAATTGAGCCTGGTCTAACTTGGCCTATGGGCCCAACCTAAGCCCGGCAGGTTTTGGCCCACATCCACGAGACTTAGTGGACAGGGACTGGACATAGATCCCATTATCTAGAAATTTTTTCTCAAAATGAGACTAACCTAAAATATTTATTTTAGCTATTTTACCCAATGAACTGCGTAGATGACCCATACAGCCCGGTCCAAGACCGACTCGAAAAATCAGGCCTGATTCGCCTAGTGGGGCAGCCATGGGCAAAATTGTTTTGGTCCAAAACAACCGATTTTTTTTTTGACACGGCCCAAGCCTGACGTGTAGGTGATATACTTTCTTTGTCTCCACTAAGAAATCAATACGTTTTTAACTTTGATTAAATATATATAAATTTTTTTAATAAGCAGTAGTACATAAACTACTTGACTCGTCATCACACAAAAAAGACACCAGTTGAAAGACCGCCATGGTGTGTTTATTCGTCGCACTAGTAGTCATCACGATCGAAGCTGCTACCGGGAATTCGGGAGGGAGACGAGAGATTGATTGATGCCACGTTCGTCTGGTTTATAAGTCATATTTTTCTTTGACGATAAATTCATCAACGGTATTTTCAACCATGATTTATCAGCCAAACGAACAGGACGTGATTGATGTGCAGTTTTGCAACTCAGTCCCTGGTACGCAGGCATCTTCGCTTCCGCCATGGGGCCTGCAGGCAACCCATCCTGGCCAATGGCCGTTCACGTGAACTGCTTCCACCTGCCCTCCCTCCCACTCACCTCCCCTGCGCTCCTCTCCTCCGGACTCCGGTCCTCCCTCCTAGTAGTCCACCACTGGAACATTGCAGAGCAGCAGAGGGGAAGGAAAACCCCACCTCCACCACGCACGCAACCTCCGATCGGGCCACCACCACCACCTCCTCCTCCTCCGGATTTGTTGCTGCTCGTGCTCGCCTGTGCTCCCACTCTCCAACTCCAAAGCCGCGCTGCAGAAAACCCCCGGACCAAGCCGAAGCGCCTTTTCTCTGTTGCATCGCGCGCTCCCGCAACCTCGCATTTCCAATCGGAGGTTTGTTTCCCAGCGCTGCCTCGTCCCCGAAACCCTCATTGCTCTTGGCGTCCGTCGTTGCGTTTGCGTGGGGGAGGAACCGCGTGGTTGATGGATGATATTCTCCTCCATGCATTGCTTTTGGCTGTCGTGTCTCGTGGGGTTTTCTGCCTGCTACTTGGCTGGGCTACTACATGTCCTTTTTTTTTGGCGTGTGTGGGTTGAGAGTTCAGCATCAAGGAATTTCGTGTAGCATCTAGGTGATCCTTTTTAGTGCGAATGTGTGATTCATAGCTGCGTTTCTATGCCTCTGATTTTAGTGGTTTTGTCTTATATAGGGTTTTGAGTTAGCATTTTTTTTCTTTTTTTTAAAGAAAAATTAGAGGAGCACTGCACACTGGAATTACTAGGGGATGGGAAGGTAAAACATGTTCATGTACAAAGAACCCTACCAAAAAATGGTTTTACTTGTTACATGCATTCTTTTAAGAAATCTTCTTCAGCGTCTGTGTTGGATAAAGAATCCCAAAGTCCTTGGGAAAAATTTAATACACAGACATATGCTATGGCTCTAATAAAGAGGTTAACTTAGTTGGATTATATATACTTCTCATTTGATACTATTGACTCTGCACTATGGAGCAGTTGAGCCTTGGAAGTAACTGTTGTTACTGTACCCTTTTAGTTCGATTATTTGCGCAAAGGTTTGATGGTTCTGCAGATTGCGTTAAACTTTTGTATTGATTGAGTGACAGTGCATCTGGATCACAATATTAGTTTATCCAATTATGTAACTAGTTTTTACCGGTGTGGAAAAAAATTATGTAACTAGTAACAAGGCAAGCAATGCAATTACATGAGGAGCTGTTACTGAACATGTTGCTATCGCTTTCAGTCCCAGTAGTCGAAATTTAAATGATCAGTCAGTTATGTGGATCGCCTTTAGTTTGCGAGGAACGCATTGCGCAACTGTCAATCCAAGTTGTGCAGACTGCTTAGTAGACCCCAAAGGTTTCATTTGAAATCCAATGTTTTTCTTTCAATGAGCTGTTGCATATTCAGTTGTTTACTGTTTAATTATTTTTATCGGTGTCCTTCAGTGACATACATTTCCTCCATTTTTTGGGGCTAACCAATATTCTCTTCTATGAACCAATTTTCAGAACAAGAATGGGGAGAAGTGGCTTGACTGGTCAGCTGCAGGAGAGTCAGAGTGATGACATGAGTGCTGCTGCTGGTTATGAGGAAGGCAGTGAGGAAGAAGAACCATTTGAGGTTGAATTCTATGATGACGATGATGATGAGCTAGATGTGGAGCAATGCAATGGCACTGCTCTGCCTGAAAACAAGGATGCAAGCGACGAGGAACCTTTTGAAGTAGACCTTTGCAGCGATAAAGGCAGTGGCAAGGCTGACTCATCTCATTCAGAGCATTACATCAATCTGGTGCCTGATGGCCGCAATACTTGCAGGAACCAGCTGTATGTGGCGGAGCCATGTCATGGTCTAATGACTGACAAAGGGGAATTTGTTGAGAAGAAGTCCAACTATGTGCAACCTTCGAAACAAGAACAAAATAAGAAAGAGCTGAAACAAGTGTTGAGGCACAACAACTCTGCGCAGAAGGAGGTATCTGTGGCCAAAGAAAAGGAAACTATGCCATTCAAAAAACGGTTTTCTGTCAAGTTTGCTGCTGATGTATCTTGTTATACATACAGTACAGAAAGTTTTGCTGCTGCTACCGTAGAGAAAAGGAAAGTTCAATCTGATGACCAGGACAAGCACCTGTGTAAGAGACAAGAGCTCTCATTTTCTTCAGCTCATGATGAGGGCAAACTGAAAGAAGGGAATGACACTAATTTGTTTGTGGGTAACCTACCACCTTCCTTGGCTTCTCACAAGCTCATTGAGCTATTTCTGCCATTTGGAAGAATTGTTAGATCAAGAGTTGTGGATGATTGCTTCACTGGTTCGAGCAAGGGATATGGCTTTGTACAGTATTCTGATCCTTGTTGTGCTGCTGAAGCTATTAAACACATGAATGGACGCATGGTTGAGGGAAGAATGCTAGAGGTCAGACTGGCTGATGCTCCATCATCAGGTTCCACAAAAGAAATGGATATGAGTAATTTGTATGTCTGCAACCTTCCCTTGCTCCTGCATGAAGATAAGTTGCATGATCTTTTTGTACCTTATGGGCAAGTAACCAGTGTGAAGGTAGTGAGGGATCATGCCACGGGGTTAAGTAAAGGATATGGCTTTGTGAGGTACTCTGATCCTCAACATGCAGCTCATGCTATTTTCCAGTTGAATGGACGTCTGATTGAGGGGAAGAAGATGGAGGTTCGAGTGGCTAGTGTTTCCTCATCAGGATCCAATCCATCTGTCCAAGCTGTATCAGAGACTGATCATCAACTCACGAAAGAGGTGGACATGAGTAATGTGTATGTCCAAAACCTTCCCTTGCTCATGAATACAGACAAATTGCTCAATCTTTTCCTACCTTATGGGCAAGTAACTAGTGCAAAGGTAGCCATGGATTTCACGTCAGGTATAAGTGAAGGATATGGCTTTGTGAAGTTCTCTGACCCACACGATGCAGCCCATGCTGTTATTGAGTTGAATGGACGTCTGGTTGAGGGGAGGAAGATATTGGTTCGAGTACGACCATCAAGCTCGCCTGTGGAATCACATGACAACAACAGGACCCTCAAAGAAATCGACATGTCTAATCTATATGTCTGTAACATCCCCTCGTCCATGAACAAAGCCAAGTTGGTGGAGCTTTTCCTGCCATTTGGTAAGATCACCCATGCAATGGTGGTGGAACAATCCAATAATTCAAGCAAGGGATATGGATTTGTCAAATTTGCTGATTCTCATTGTGCTGCTGAGGCTATTGCACTGATGAATGGAGCACTGATTGAAGGTGAATCGATCTCGGTCAGAATTGCTGGCCTTTCTCCGTCAGTATCCAGCTCAGTTTCACAGCATTCACCACACTCAGAAACAAATGCCTCTCCTGAAATCAACAACTGTAGACTGTACGTCACCAACGTTCCACAGACCATGCCAGCTGACAAGCTTGTTAGTCTTTTCATGCCCTTTGGTCAGATTGACAGGGTGGTGATGTACGTGGAGTATAGTCTTGTGCTATATGCAGATATAAACTCAGCAGCGAAGGCTCTCAAGCACATGGATGGGTACCTGATTGAAGGAAAGAGGCTAGTAGTCAAGGGATCTGAGCCTCTTCCAGTCAATGCAGGTAGCAAGCTTGTAAAAGAAATTGACATGGCTAATCTGTATGTTGGCAGGGTTCCATCAGCTGTGACCTGTGAACAGCTGGTGCAGATTTTCTGCCTATATGGAGAAATTGTTCAAGCTAAGAAGTTTGATGTCGGGTATGGCATGATCAGGTATGCTAATGCTTCATCTGCTGCTGCCGCAATTGACGAATTGGATGGTTACCAGGTTGGAGGAAGCACTCTGGTTGTGAGAGTTGCAGGGCTTCCTGCAGAATCTGATGTAGCCACATTTGCTCGAACCCCTCAGACACCTGGCAATGAGCACAGACAAATTGACATGACTAATCTATATGTGGGCTACCTCCCGCCGTATGTTACTACTGATAAGTTGATTGAACTTTTCCTGCCATGTGGCCAAATCACTCAAGCAAAAGTAGTTGTGGATAAGTTCACCGGTGTCAGCAAGGGATTTGGATTTGTCAGATTTGCTGATGCTTACTCTGCTGCTACTGCGATCACTCACATGAATGGCTACCCATTGGATGGGCATATGTTGGCGGTTAGAACAGCAGGTGTCCAACAGAGTGACATGGCCAGCTACATGGCACATTTCTACTCCTACTTCACTTCCCCTGATCCCTCAAGGATGGCTGTTGGAATCCCGGCATCAGACTGGTCATGCTATTATGGTCAATCTGCATATAACCCATACTATTATGCTGAATCCGCATACACCACACCGGCCGTGCACCAGGGACAAGGTGCTGAATCTGCTGCGACTGCTGCTGGTAAAACATCTCAGCTGGAAGGCCTGTCTGGACCTGAACCGGTCGGTTCAGTTGCTGAGAGAGATGGCTCTTCTGTGTCAAATCCTGCTGCTTCTGATGGTTCTCGGTTGGATGTTTGGGCTGGTCCACCTGGCTGTGTGTCCCATGCTGTCGCCAAGAAAGATGCCACTACGATGAATACTTCTCAAGCTTGGGCTGTCGCCAAGAAAGAGGTCAGTATGATGAATACTTCTCAAGCTTGCTCAAAGGTGCATATGGTACAGTCGGAAGGTTGGGCTGGTCCACCTGGCTTTGAACCCCATGCCATCGCCAAGAAAGATGCTACTGTGATGAATCCGCCTCAAGCTTGCTCAAAGGTGCATATGTCTGTCAGTGCGAGCGAGAAAAGAAGTTCAGTTGTCTAACATAATATGCATGTCTACCTGTAGTCTGATATAACATAGCAGGATGCTCTTCGGATAGGCGTGTTTTGGAGAAGATTATGCTTATGCAGTTTTCCCTCGTGGAAGAAACTGTATCCTGTGCATTTTACTCAACCCAACATTTTCAGTTGCGCATATTCTAGTATTGGATGTTTTTTCCCCTTGACTGTTATTCCAAATCTACATAACGTTTTCCTGTGTTTTTTCTTGGAAATGTTTCAAATTATTTCCTCCGTTCCAAATTATAAGATGTTTTGGTTTTTTAGATTGTTTTTACTATGTATTTAGACATAGTGTATATCTAAGTGTATAACAAAAACTACTTATGTAAAAAAGACAAAACGAGTAGATGTTAAAAATTCTAGTCAGCATTAATCCATTACTGAGGGTCTATGTGAAGTATCATAGTTCAGTCAAAGATCGTAAAAACCAACTTGGATTTGAGGCGGTAAAACAATTTTCAGCATGCTCCCATACAAACAACTTGCTTAGGTTCCGCCCAAAGCATTTGAAGCAGCTGCTGGAAAGGCACTTGCAGATGCCTTACCTTGCGCCCAAATTTCTCATGAATTTGCAGACAATAGCTAACAACGGCAATGCATAATTATCATCTTTTATTACATCACCCCTGTCTCAAGGAACATCTCGATTAACACAGGGTAAAATGAAACAGGTAATTCTCATTTATTTTCGCCAATGTATACATGTAATCTGAAAAATTGTGAATATGGAGCAGTACAATCTGTTTGGACTTGGAAGGAAAAATGGATGCATGTAATTGTCATGAAAAAGATGCCAAAAAGCATTTAGTCAAAGATCACTTAATAAATGTGAACTTAATAAATATATGGTGCAAATAAACTAGAGATCATTTCGACATGAAGAGAGATCTGCATTGCTGAGCTGTGTCATTGGGGCTGGTAACTGCAAATCAAAATGATATGGAATCAGTATGGGAATGACAGAAATGGTGACTTGGTGAGTGAGTAGCATTTGTAATATGCAACTACTATGATGATGAAAGAGGTCTCATTTAACATTAAAATTAAATTCTGCGGCCAAAATTTCACGCAAGCCTCATATTGATTTTGCACTGATGCTTTCTTTTCCTATTTATTTTTGTTTTCTAAGGAGAACTAAAAATGTCTCTCTTTAAGCTATGTCCATTCTTGTTAGGTGACATTACAAATTCATAGGCATAAGAATATCAGCCTTTGCCATACAGCCAGCATACCTGTATGGCCAACTGTTCTTTCAGATTCAAATATCTCATAGTCATTGCCACCCTGTTCAATGGAAAACAAGAATTATTCAGATAAATTACCAAAATAAAGGCCATGTTAGAATTAAGCTGCTGGTTACTAACCAAAAAATATAAAAATATACACGCAAATTATTTTGGGTCCTAAGAAGAAGCTACATATCCACACAAACAAAATTCAAGAGTTTTATACGATTTAAACACCAGTAAGGAAGACATATCACCTTGTAGGTCTTATCCCCAAAGAAATGGATTTCTTGAAATTCCTCAAGATATCTCAAGCAGTAAGTCTTGTCCCAACCTTGGGGAAATACCTGGAATTTTTGCATGGTAGTAGTAAATACCATGATTCCAATTATTTCAAGAAAATACATACGTGTACAAGTCTAGGAGACTCACATCAAAACTAATCTGCCCTCCAATAGAAAATGTCAGGTTCATGTGTGCAAACTTTTCACGAAGCACTGACACCATTTTAGGTCGAATGTTATGCACCTGCAGGAAATCAACCGTTTCAGTCCCATAGATTTGATTCCCTCCTCTCTGACTAAGAAAAGGTACTGACTTTTAGTAGACGATTTATACCTTATCATACTTCTCAAATTCATCACGTTCTTCTTGGCTACAGTTTCTTCCTATAGGAGATACATTAATCATTCCACTTCGGAACTCTATGAACGTACCCCTGAGCAATCAGTCAATATTATAAAGGTCAGTAATGACTAACAAGCTAGTGCAAATCGTAACTGTTGAACAGGGTAATTAACTGGCCTTTTAATTGGGATATCCAAGTCAGCAATGTAATGAAGAGTGAAGTTAATAAATTCCTGGAAAGAGAACACGTTGGCTTCAGCAAGGCCTTAGGATTTTATCAAAAGAAGCAGTGCAAGAACGTGAATACACCACATTTAGGCTTACCTTTAGCTTGTCTTCTCCAACAAATGATTTCAAACTCTGCAGAGTGCACAAGGACAGGTTTTAGCATATATATAAAGGTTCTCTAGGTAAGGCCGTTATTCTACTGGACTAGAACTTTGTATGACAGTTTGTTTGGTCGGTGTTGCATGTCAACAAAGGAAAAGAACAGAAGCATTCCTTTATTAAACTAAATTTCTGACAATCTCAGCGTGTACCTAGTGGAACATTTCTCATTCAGAATGAAATATCAGGAGACGTTGACCAATGCATATATGTTGAGACAGTGTATGTAACTATGTAAGGTGCACAGAGACTTACTTGAGTTCCAATTAGTTGGCCATTTTTGTGTGCAACCAGGCCGTTTTCAGAGAAGACGTAATCATAATCAGTAATAACTGCAAAAACGAAAAGAAGAAGGGCAAACCAATTACTTCCAACGTTGCAGAGTTCATCATCGTCAGTGCAGTGATGGGGTCACACAGGGTGACACAGCAACGAACTCCTAGCAAGTCCAAACTTGAGCGCCTATGTTCAGTCACCTGTTTTACCGAGCTGCTCGGTAATCTTCACAAGATCAGATCCGCCAACCACGCCCACAGTCACATGCTGCTCCCAAAATAAATAAATAAATGAAGCTGCAATTTCTCGTCATGCAACGAACAAATGCAGCAGGAGCAAGAGGACGAGCGATCTCAATTCTCACCTGGCGCAGCTGCTTCATGAACTCTAGCATCTCTGGCGTCACCACCTGCCCAGAGAATCACAAGATCATTTCACAAAAACAAACAAAAAAACGGCGGCGCTCGACAATTTCGAGCTGCAGCCCACTCCTATCATATCGGCTACTGAGCTCCTCCGAGTGCCAAGCTACCGCAACCGGAGGCTGAGATTGAGAAAGGGAGACGGATCCAGGGGAGGGGAACTCGCGGCACCTTGCGCGGCGCTGTGAGAGTGCCATCGACGTCGAAGAGCGCGAGGACGCCCGAATTCCTTCCCGCGGCGGCCATCACAATCGTCCGCTCCTCACGCCCCTGCCTCCGCTACGACCGCGAGCAGAGGACGAAGCGGCGGTCCTCGCGGCCGCGTGGTAGTAGTAGTAGTAGTAATAGCAACGGCTCCCGGGCCGGAATCGCGGGGAGAAGAAGGCGTGGGTTGCAATAGTCAGCTCGGCGGCGCGGATCTAGATGCGGCCCTCGCTTGGCGTGTGGACTGTGGAGCGTGGAGTCGTCGCGTCGCGCGCAAGGGAAGGGGCGTCGGGATCTGCGCGCGGGGAGGGGAGGGACGAGGAGGAGGACGAGCGGGGACTGCACAAGCCGTCAGTCGTCACTCCCCTGGAGGCTGGAACGGATGGATGGATGGATGGATCATGGCTGCCGTCGTGACTCGTGGCAACGACTGCGCGCCACGTAAGACGACTAGACGGGGTTTCGCTGCTTCGCCAGGTTCGGTTAGGCCATTCCTGGCCGTTCCAGGACAGGAACAATTCCAAACCGGTACAAATTATCGAAGAGACCGATCGGCTGGGAATCAATTCCCTGCAAACGAACGAAGCCAGCCTGTTCGCTTCCTCGTAAACGATCGTAAATTTTTAGCTGGGAACAGTGTTTTTCTCTCAGGCAAAATTCTGCGATAAATAATCGTTTCCTAATGCGGTACTGTAAGTATTTCGTTGACGCTGTACATACATGATACGATACGAGGCATAGCATCGTTTTTGTCTGGTACTTGTCAGATAGCAGGATCGAATCCGGTAGGGTTCTATCAGAATTTACAAGATTTGTAATATGTTGTAAATCTTTAAGTCTATAATATTTATTTTAATTAATTTCAACTAGAATTCATTTGGATTCTTGGAATTGAATTCATTCAAATAATTATAATTTATTCATAGATTAATTAAGCTAATATGGTTGTATATGGAATATATTTGTATATTATTGTTAGCCAAATAAGAGACATACTTTATATGTTGCATTTCTATCATAGGAAAATAAGTTGAAAAGTGTGTTATAAATTAGAGAGTATAAACATAGCATGTTCCCTATAAATTTGAGATATGTTTATTTGTGAGCTTGGCAAAGTTGTGGAATACCAAATTCTAAACAAAGTAGCCTAAATTCAATAAGTAAATTTCAATTCCTCTAAATAAAGGGATTTAAACGGCCCCTTAATGTATTTAACCTTTTAGATTTAAGTAGTTCCTAGCATTATTTTTAACCCCTCTTAACTTCAAATATTATTTTACTACTACTGAATCTTTTCAAAAGTAATCTTCTATCTTCTAATATCTATAACTATATCTACATATCTTATAATTCTAAACATATGTTGTAAATGTTTAAGTCTACTATATTTATTTTAATGAGTGTATTTAACTTTTTAGAATTATAAGTAATTCTCAACATTATTTTTAGGCAAAATTGGTTACCGGGACCTGAAAGTGACCTCTATTTGCTGCTGGATATGCAAAATGGAGCAGTTTGCTGATAGACACTTTGCTTCTTTGTTAAATTTGCTGGTGGACACCGGACCGAATAAAATATTCACTTTCGGGTTTAGAGGAGAGAGAAGAGCGATAAAATGTCCTTAATACCCCTGCCTCTTTCTCTTTTTCATTTTTTACCTTCTCTTTCTTCCCCACGCCACCCATGCCCTGACCTGCTGCTGCCGCCACGAGCCGAGACCCTGTGGCCCCGCCCGCTCATTCGCCCCGCCCTTGCCGGCGGCCTCGCCAGCACGTCGCCCCTCCCTGCACCAAGTCGAGCCAAGCCCTAGCCCCGTCCCCGTCCTGCCCCGCCCGGAGCCACGGCGGCCGCGGCCGCCCGCGCCCCAACAGCCGCGGTGGCCCGCACCATGGTGGCCACGCTCGTCCTCACCCGGCGTCGCGCGCCGCTCAGCGCACCCGGCGGTGACCCTTTTGCTCGAAGCGCCCACGGCCCCACAGCGCGCCCGTCGTCCGTCGTCGGCGCCACGCGGGTCCGTGGCGAAGCAGCGTCGCGGCGCAGCGTCTTTGGTGCTCGCCACGTCATAGCCGCATAGGACAAGCAGCGAAAGCGAGCGGCGGGCAGCGGCGGCGGCGTGAGCAACCGGCGTGAGCAGCGAGCGGCGGCGGTGGTGGCGCGTAGTAGCAGCGGCGTGAGCGGGCGTCCCGACAAGAACGGCAGCGGGCAATGAAGTTGCGATGGTGGTGCGCAAGAAGAAAGCAGCGGCGGCGGCGGCGGCGGCATAAGCGGCCGGCCCGAGCAAAGAACGGCGTGCAACAATGAGCTATAGCGGTGGTGCGCTCTCAGCAATGGCAGCGGCGGCATGTGGCGATGAGCTACAAGGCGCTGCGTAGCAGCTGCAGCGCCAGCCGGATTTGGCCACCTGCTATGCGTTGTGCTCTGCTCTTGGAGTCCGCGGCGGCCCTCGTGTCCACGGCGCAGCCAGTTGAGCTGAGGAAAAAAAAGAAAGGAGAGAGGAAAAAGGAGTCAGGGGCAAAAAAGGACATTTCTCCTCTGTAAAAAGCAAGAAATGAATATTTTATTGGTCACGGTGTTCAGAAGCAAATTTGACAACAACAACAGTGTCCACCAGTAAGTTGCTCCATTTTGCATGTCCGCTAGCAAAGAGAGGATCACTTTAAGTGTCCTGTGGCCAATTTTCCCTGTGAGGCGCTCCAGTAAGTTGCTCCATTTGGCTACATGTGTCATTTGAGTATTTCCTCGAATTATTTAAAATTCTTATAATGTATTATATTTCCTCTGTCCTAAATTATTAGATTATATTCATAGCTTTTATTATGTATCTAGACATAATATATATCTAGGTGTATAGAAAAAAGATAAATCTAGAAAAATTAAAACGTCTTATAATTTGAAACGGGTGGAGTATTAATTATAGGTGGAGGGGTATGTCACTAGAAAAATTTGAGAATAGGACATTCTGTATACGTCTGTAGTAGCACGTATTAATTGTTGCAGCTATATATGGCTGTAGTATAGCACTTATTAATTGTTACAGATATATACTGCTATACAATATACATACATCCAAAATACCAAAACAGAAGGCATCTGCATGCCCTGGTCCCGAGCTCTGCTGACGGACGATAGTCACTACTCCCCTTCTCCTCGCCTTTTAAACGGCTCCGGCTGGCGCGTTGCCGTCACACCACACCACACACCAGAGACACCCGACGCTCCGACCCTCTACTTTCCATCCAGAGAGCACGGCTTTAGCTTCAGTTTCGAGCGGCGGCCGGCGCGTGCGAGCGGTCGACGGAGATGGCTGGTGGTTCAAGGACGTCGTCGCCAATCATCGTCATCTCGGATGATGAGGAGAAGCCGGTGTCGCCGCCGGTTGACGCGGTCCTCCCCGATGCCGAGCATGGGTGGCCGCCGACGGCGGATTGGTCCGAAGACGAAGATGTCCCGAGGCCGGATTGGCTTCCCGACGGCTTCGGCATGGAGGGCTACCTTGAAGACGGCACGTTCCAGGCGACGGTACGTCCATCCGTTACTCATCGACCATGATCATCTCTCGCTCGTAGCCATAGGCGCCCCGTCGCACCACTTGTACGTACACGTAGCGCGTCTTGCGTTTTACGGCGGCCGCCGGCAGGGCAACCTGTATGTGCGCGCGCGGGGCTCTGCGCCGCCTCGTGTACTCGTCGACCGGCCCGTGCGCCGCTGGCCGGCTTACATATATAGAAATTTCGAAATGGCCTGGATGCGTGCGAGTTAGCTAGGGTTTTACAACAATTCTACTACATCTGGTGTGTTTAAACAATTAAACTTTTACGCTTGCGTGTTCATCCGTGTGGATGTATGTATATGTATATATGCAGAACTTCATCTGCCCCGTGACCGGCATCAGTTTCGGCACCAAGAATGAGGTGCTCGACTACTGCGCCTCCGGGGGCTTGCAGCGCGCCATCGAAGCAAAGAACACGCTCGACGCCAAGACCACGCTGCAGGTGAGTCATCAAGCATATCGTCTATCTATCTAGCTACAATCTAGGAGTTTGGCCGCACGAGTTCGTTGTAGATGTCCACCTTGCATTGCCTTTGCTGAGATTGGATTCAGACATCTCATCACCGTTGCGGAATGCATGTGCGTGTGTGTGCAGGGGAAGTACGCATGGCTCAGGGGGGATCACAAGTGGCTGCTCGAGATCAGGCGGGCTGCTGGAGGGGAGAACGGGAGAAAGATGATGTACAAGGTAATAAAAAGACAAAAAAAGATTCCATGGCTAACAAACTTTAATTTCTCTTGATGTACTAAATGATTATTGTTAGCTGTATATTTAATTTGTCTGTTGTTGCTGAATGCATATAGTTGGAAAACGTTACTAATAATTATTATATATGTTCCTAGCTAAGCATGCATGAATGTAGTGGTATAGGATTTTACTGCGGTCAAAGTTACAGCAGGGATATGATCATTCTAGCTAGCCTTATGGGCAAGAGATCTAGATAGATCGATACACATTAGCTGTTGTATTGTATTACAAAATGGAAGCTAGCTAATTAAGAGGTGGAAACTATTGTATGTATATGCCTCCCATGTATCTTCCGGTTGTTATTGTAAACATGTATAATATATAGGAAATGATGTTACCAGGTCCAGGACTCACGCGCCATGTAGAAAGGTGTTTACTTCTTCTTTTTTCGCCATTTTGTGTTAGTACTAGCTTAGTAAAGGAGTTTTAGTGAGTGAAAATAAAGCATTTTGTGTTACATGGCCGCTATGCAAAGTAGTTAATAAACACTGCCCACTAAGTTAAATATAGGACTATATATTTTGTTTACAAGGACTAGGTATATATATGTAATACAGATTGAGGTAAGTTGCAATTGCATGCAGTTGACCCTAAATTCAGAATAACAAATATTCATGTTTTCATACATAATTGTGATTGAATGTTCTGAAGCTTATATCGGTGAAAGAGCAATGGTTTTCCTTTATGTTTTCATATTTGTATACAATATATGATGCATTGTTTCTCTTTTCCAGGTTTATGCTCACCCGTCTTCCAAAGTGAGGATTACATCAAAAGTTGAAGTGATGCGCCTCATAGATGAGGGCAAGATCCCTGATGAGTCTACCAATGATGGAGACTGCAACGACACGAGCAACAAAGATAACGTATGGATTAGCATGCTAAAATATTCTACATTTAAATATATAACATTGTGGTTATATATTATATGCTTTAACATTCTCAAGAACTAACATTCAACATTACATGTAGATCATTGCTCAACTTGATTTCAACGTCTCGTGTCTTCCGCCGGGATGGGTTAAGGAAACTACATTTAAGAAATGCAGTGGTGGCATTAGGACAGATAGGGTAAATTAGATTGAACATAGAGCTCACCCATTCCAAAATATCCAGTTCATTTATGTTTTCTTATCATTCTTTGTTTGATTTTGTAGTACTATACGGATCCTGTGATAAAAAAGGTGTTCCGCTCACTGATGGCTGCAGAACAATACTTTAAGTACGGAAAAGTAATGGATTGTTACAAACCAACCATGAGTGTCACCGACTTGTACTCCTTTGATGGGTGCGTTGACATGGTAATTTTTCTTCCACTATAATAGTTCTTATCACTCATCCTGTTTTCTTTTTTGGTGGGGTCTTTACTATTTTGTGTCCTGCAAATTTTTACCTTGCTTGTTGGTGTGTATAGTAACAATCTTAACATGCTACAGCCTCTTTGGTTAGCAAGAAGAGTGAAAATGGATGGAACAAAAGACCAATGTGAGGAAGAATGCCAGACTTCATGCTGTAAGTATTTCTAGTATTTGCTAAATGCACCTATAGAACTTTTATTGACAAACTTTATTTAGTTATGTCACTTTTGGTATGATATGAGATCCTTTCTATTATTCTCCTCCTAGAAATGAGTTTAATGTTTTATAAATGAACTATCACCTAAGCCATGATACATCTCCAATCGCATTTCCATAAGTAGGAGGAAGGGTGGATCTTACCCTGACGAGGAGGGGAGCTAGGGAGCTCGGGTCCTCCCCAACCACCACCACCACCACATGTGTGTGTGCACACACTTCTTTTTTGTGTTTGCCTGTAAGTAGGAGGGGCACTCATAGGATCTTAAGGGTTAAGAGGCAATTATTTCTTAGCTAGTCATGTTTGGTTTAATTTACCAATTGTTGTCATTAGCTTCCACTATGTTTTGTTGGTTACTAGTGAAGTTACTAGGTGCTTGGTTTGTGGGTTGGAGTGGTCTCGTCCTAGTTTTTAGGGATGGTATCTTCTCATATAATTTTGGTTAGGGGGTACGGGACCATTCATGTTTGTGTTTGGATTGAGATCCCACATGGGACCCACCCATCACCCTCTTTTTTTCTCTTTGTTCTTTCCCATCCATTGCTTAGTTCTTACAAATGCATTCAAGTCACCACACAACTCCAAGGCCACCGCCCACCTACTCCCATATGGTCGCAACTCACCCACACATGGCTCTCACCTCTGAGTTGCCACCTGCGCCCACGGACGATGCCCCTAATTCGCACCCACAAACAGGTATTACCATGTATCTATAGCTGGCACTAGCCCTCATGTTCATGAGTGGGCATATTGCATGGGTATGGGCTTGTCGTCCCCAACTGCTTCCCCCCTCCTCCACACACATACACACCATCATGATGAGCTAGAGCATCTTATCCGCTGCCATGACCATACCCATGGGCCACCTATGTGCCCTTCACTTTCCACACCCCTCTCCCAACATCTTATTCCTCAATAGTGGTGGCGGCACTAGTTGGCCCACTCACAACCAACTATGCTTGCCCACATGTGTCCTATGTGTGACGGAATCGTCCACCCAATTTAAGGGGATGGCCACGCTCCGCGTCTAGACGGCATATTCCTTTGGGAATGGTCCCATCCCTCTCGCCCTAGAACCAAATACCTTGCAATCTAGGCTCACCACATCCCATCTCCCACTGTCTGGCCCACTAGTCAAAACACATGCTTAGGTTCATGCAATCAATGATTGGTTCTAGTGCATCCTCTTACTAATTGTAGTTATTAAGTTTGGTTAGCGATGAGGCATGGGTTATGCATTAGTGGCTCATGAATGACAAGGCACTAGTCTAGTGCAGATGAAAGTTCATATAACTTGTGTGATATGTGCTGCTAGGGACGTCTTGTGTGCTCATCCAGTGAGGCCTAACCGTGTGTCCACTATCCATTTTAATTGGGCAGTGCGGGCCTCGTCGTCTCCTCTTAATGGTTTTGATGAAGCCATGTTGCATCACGGGCTCACAGTAGTGTCGGAGCATTGCCACTCGCACCGTGTGGAGTGCCTCGGTCACTCTATGGGGCGTGGTTGTGGGGGTCGCATGCCCTTTATGCGTTTTGCCTACAGCAACCATCTCGTGGCCTCCATGTAGATACGTCAAACTATGTTTTCCTCTCTTCCTCCCTCAACCTTGATACCTCCATCGCCCTCCTTTCCACTTGGGCTTTGTTTATGTTGTTACCAGATGAGCGTTGTGGTGTGGCAACACAGTGGTGTGCATCGGTGCTTTTGGGCCATAACCGACCCGTCATCACCTCATTGTACTCTCCCTTTCCCCATGCTCATCTCCTTGTCGATCTGCCAACTCTCTTCTTCCCATCTTCTCCTCATACTCGAGCAGACCCAGTAGTAGCAAAATTGCCATTGCCCCCGCTCCAATTTAAGCCCTCATCCCCTCCTTCAGTCAACCACGCCGTTGTAGCATTCCCTTCGGCCAATGTGTCAAAATCGAGATAGAGGATGATTGCTTAAGTAGCCAGCCTGCACTAGGTACATGTTCATGACTGCTCAGGCACCCTCCTAGCGATGCATTGGTGCCCTCGCTCGACTGCCCAGTTCTCTACCACTCCGCTCTCCCTCACACCTATCAGTTAGACAGGCGATAGGGCCTTCCATACTCTAATGTGAAATAGATCAGGGTTTATTTGTTTTTTGTTGCTATCGACCTATTTTGAGTTGATGTCGCTGTCCTTCTCCGTGGTGCTGGACCCGTTCCTGCCATCGCAAGCCTTGCTTTTTGAATATGATGCTTACATCTTGTCATCCCTACACTTTGTTAGACCTGAGAAAATTGAGCCCGACCTGGCCCAAGCCTGCCGGATTTTGGCCCACCCATGAGCCTTAGTGGATAGGGTCTTGGCTGAGGTCTAACTGCCTAGAAAAAATCTTGATCCGAGCCCAACCCGAAATATTCCTTTTATTCGTTTTCCAATAAAAATAGCAGGCAACCTGCTCGGCCTGACTCACCATGGGACGATGGTGGGTAGGATTTTTTGGCCCGGTTCGAAAAATGCTCAGGCCTGCGCTTTGTTAGTGGTGAGGCTCCACCATGCATCGATGGCTAGTGAGTAAATGTGCTTGTTTAGCACCTCGTCTTACCAGCTTCACAATGTTTTCCCTTTTGCAAATACCCTTCATGTATCTCTATGATATGTTTTATTTGATTGAAATTGGAATCAATGTACAACGATAACACTTACTATTGTAAATGTCAATAGTGGGGTGCTCTGCTATACACTTTATTGCCTCCTTATGCTCCATGAATGACCCATTAGGTCAGACACCGACCATAGAAGTGGGAGAGGATGGGAAAGAAGTGCTCCATAGTGATAGCAAGGAGAAACTTGACGAAGAAGAGTGTCATGGTGATGACAAGAAGGAAGAAGACAAAGAAGAGGCACTCAATGGTGATGGCAATGAGAAAGAAGATAATGAAGATATGCCCCATGGTGATGGCAAGGAGGACGAGGATGAACCAGGGGCACTCCATGGCAGTGACAAGGTGGGAGTGAATGGAGAAGGAGTGCCCTGTGGTGATGGCGTGGAAGATGGATGGCGCTTTCGTTCACTTACAGAGTTGTACTCGGTACAAATTGAAAAAGGCAACTTGAAGAGAAAGGGAAAAAAGAATAGACTAGTGTAGAATGGGAGAAGCGAGAATGTTGTCTTGATTTTTGTTACCCATAATTTCGAGGTGTTAACTTGAGATTTAGCAATTTGCTCTCATTCATGTAATCTTTTTTATTAACTCTGGAAATGTGCTCTACCATTGAATTAAGTAGAAGTAGAGTAACTACCAATCTATTGTCTCGACTTAGGGAAAAAATAATCAAATAAAAGGAAATAAACTACATTGCCAATTACGCTAATGATTATAGAGATTTCGACATAACAATAATCCCCGTGAATAAACTAGGTTGAGGTTGTATTTTCCACCTTAGTCATCTCCATTGCAAACGAAGTGCTCGGTTGAAACTTCTGAGATCCAAAATGTCAAGTCCTCTTAGTGTCTTAGGATAAAAAAACACATTTCCATTTGACCAAGCAATGGTCTCCCCATGCCACTTCTTCTTCTTTCCATTAAAATTTTTGTCATGTTCGATCAATTCTCTTATCAATAGTGTCATCCTCCCGTCTCTTGTTTGCAATTAGCCTTTCCACTCCTATAATTACATGAGATGCTAACCAAATGACCTTGAAACTAATGGAGTATGTGATCCATATCTAGATCTTCATGCCAAATTTGATTGACCTCTACTTTTTTAAATATAGTTCTTTAGGCCAATGGCTTCACCATAATTATTAAGGATCTATTGTAAGTTGTTCAAGTCTGTTACTAATGGCTGGAGAAAAAGGGCGGCATCATCTATATACAAGGTGGTACAAAAATGCCTGGGGTCTACCCCAATTTGTGAAAGCAATCATGAGAGGTTGCTTGGTCACCTTAAGGGTGTTGAATCAGGGCCATTGCTAATGCTAAGTAAAAAGACATAGGTGACTAGATCACCATAACCCCCTTTGTTGAATTATGTTCCACTCTAGTTATGAGTTTGATCAAGTATTGACAGATGTTTTTGTTATCTCTTTTTTCCTTTTTTGAACGAGAATATGTCTATTTTCTTCTTCGAGTTCGATTAAGTGTTTTGCAAGTTATCGGGACAAAAATAGAGGTGGTAAATCCTTTGGATCAAACTAAAACAACCTTCAAACGATAAAGGTTGCAAGTGCAAGAAGTGCTACTAAGCAACCAAGAAGGCCATGTGGGAAAGTTTCCATGTTATTAGCAAGGATGAGACTTACTTAGATCCACATTTTTATCCAAACATAAAGAAGTTTATAACCAGGAGCATCCATGTGAAGTTCAAATAAACAAACAAGTACATTTTGATAAAAGAGATGAGACTATCAAGCAAATGGAGGGCAACCATGGGAAGTCCAAATAAAAATATATTTTGGGGGAAATTGTATATTTCCACCTCTTCATTTTCTTTTAAATTGGCATAAACATATTTGTTACTTTAAGCAACAAAAATGATTTTATATGGAAAAGTCGGGAGAGAGAGAAGGGAACCCGCCCAAGAGGTATAGTGACACATAGTTAATTGGTGGTCTATGTGTTTTTTACAAACAATATCATAGTATCAACGCATTTAATTGTTTGCTTACTTATAAAAAATATAATCACTGGGTTAAACATCACAATATGAGCTCTCAACATTAGTTTGGTCCATAAAAGGCTATTGACGTAGCGAGCTAGCAAATACCTACAATCCCACCCTTTTTAAAGTTGAAGTTAGGAGAAGTTGGATCATATCCAACTGTTTTTTATCATGATTTGGACAAGTAGTTCAAACATGCCATGTCATAATACCCACATTTATGTCATCAGTCATTGTTGTTAGTCTTGGATAATAAATTCTATACATCATTCATGTTGGAGCATCAATATTGTTTCTCTGTAGCACCACATATGATCCATACGCATCTAGTCATGCGAATGTCCCTGTGTCTCAATCCTCACAGAATTTTCTTTGTCATTCCTTCTTCGCTTGCCCAATAATCCCTACTCACATTTGTTGCCATGGTGTCAATGTCATAGCCTCAAGTTTCATTGATGTCATTTGCTCATCACTATCAATATTGTTTATAGAGATGTTCCTGCTAGAGGTAGATAAGAAACACCACTCAAAAGGAGAGAGGAAAGTGGACAATGCTTAATGTGGGTAGAGTAAAAGAATAGTTAAAAGTGCTCGGGATAATTGCCTCTAGTAGAATTCATTAAATAAAGTTTTCCAAAATTTTCCTGAATGGTTTGGTTTGCTTAACTTTGCATTTCCCTAAAGTGAGATTTAATTTTGAATCATGAACAAAAAAGGGAAATTTAGGTAGTTTCCACTCCTAGAAATGCTACCTAATACAATATAGTGCAAACACCTCCCAAAAAAACATTACATTTATTGTTCTTTTACCTTAGTTTTTAAAAATACATCTTAAGCGTCCTAAAATGATTGTTCTATCACCACTCCCCTTCCCCGTCCTATTCACTTTTATCCATCCTTGTTTTTCACTAACCAATAATGGTTCCGCCAGGCATGGGGTTTGCATCATCTGATCATCTCCCTCAAAGTTGAAATATTCCAAGCGCATACACTAAATAGGTGGCCATGCACCATGCTACTTCATCCACACAAAGTTGAAAAACCCTCATAACATAGTCTCACCATCGTAATAAGTGCACCATACGTGCATAAATGTGACCTAATGAAGCTTGATTTGAACCCCTACACACTAGCTAATTGAGGCCAATCTTTATCATATATATATATTATGACTATAGAATATGTTTGTGTGTTGCAATAGATTTCAAATAAAAAATATAAACTCGATCGATTATTCCCTAAGCCTTGAGGATAAAAAAATTTAGAAATGTCAAATAGCTTTCTCTGAATGTAGAAAAGGTCTGTGCCAAGCCACATATATCCTAATCCTCCCTCCATCTTGTGATATAAGGGTTCTAGAGTTTAAAATGTGTACCAAAATATAAGGTATTCTAGGTCCTCAACCATCTTTCTCCTTTATTTTTTGGGTAGGAAATACTGGGATTCCTTTTAAACTTATTAGTGTCATCCAAAACAACCAACATTAATTAAGAAAAATAACAATTGAACTAATCCATCCATCCTAATTAGTGAGGGTCAATATGGTCTTATGATGTCAGGCCCTTTATTTTGTCTAAAAGTCGCTTGGATCCTTTATATTATGGGACAGAGGGAGTATCATCATACAATGTATGAGGATATTCTATACACATTGATCCCTTCTTTTTCCTCAAATGGCATATGAGAGTTGCATGTCATTTCATTAAGAGAGAAAATGATGCAATGGTGAGGCGAAAGAGGTCCCAACCGAACACGCACAACTTACACACTCGAAAACCTACAAAATACCCACCAAAGAGGGAGAACATGACCAATGTGAATAGCTTAATAATCAAAAATGAACTAAGGATGTGTAGCGATTGACCTTAAGAGTAGCTCTCGAAGGTTAGAAGCACCCGTCAGCCACCGTAAACTACACTCATTAGTTACCTTTTGCTAGAGGAAATGTAAGTTAGGGGAAACTTGACCACATAGGCATTCCTATGTTCCATACTTCCCAAGACACCAATATGATTAGGGCGTTCAACCCCTTGCACATCTCCTTGGTAGTACTTTTTAGGTAAAATTTTCTCGAAAACACTGAAAGTGACCTCTCTTTGCTGGTGGACATCCAAAATGGAGCTATTTGCTAATGGACACTTGTTGTCAAATTTGCAGTAGGACACCGAACACATTAAAATAATCATTTCTGGCTCAGAAGGTTATAGACCAGAGAAATGGTGTTTTTGCCCCTATCTCTTTCTTCTTCCTCTCTCCATTTCTTCTTCTGCAATGGCGAGGATGTCGAGCTCCGGCGAAATCCTGGCCGGCGGAAGCTCGTCGGTGGCAGCAAGGTGGCGCTAGGGCTTTCCTGGCCGTCGTCGCCCCTCTCGCCGCTCTCCTCACCCTCTCTTGGAACAGCGCACAGAGCTGGCCACAATTGCTATGCAGAGGCGCACGTCGAGCAGCAGAGATCCCCGTCACTGTTGTCCCTACCATGCAGCGCTACCCCGATCGAAACCATAGACTCCACTACACCTCCGACATCTCTTCGTTCCCTTGCTCTCCTCTGCTAGGCCAAATCGGGCCTAGGCACACCTCACCGCCAGTGTTGATGCCGTCGATGCCAGCTGCTCGCATGGCTAGGCCTCGATGGGCTACGGTCGTGGGCAAGTTCCACAGGGCTCCTAGTCGCCGCTGGAAGGCCGCTGGCCGCTGTGCACGCTAGCATAGGCCACTGCAGGTTGCCACGGTAAGGCCACTGTGGGCCCCCACCGGCAGGGTTACGCCCCTTGGCAGGTGCGCGTGGGCCTAAGCAAGCCCTAGCGCCGCCTTCCTGCCGCTGGCGAGCTTCCGCCGGCCGGGATTTCACCGGAACCCGGCATCCTTGTCGTAGTAGAAGAAGAAAGGGAGAGAGAAAGAAGGAAGAGATGGGGGTCATTTAGCAGCTGTTCCCTCACCTCCTGAGCCAGAAGTGATTATTTTAATGCGTTTAGTGTCCTTAGCAAATTTGACAACAACAAAAGTGTCCACCAACAAATTCCTTCATTTTCGATGTCCACAAGCAAAGGGAGGTCACTTTTAATGTCTAGGAGCAAATTTTGCCTACTTTTTATAGTGTTTCGCCACCATCTAAAAAATGAGTTGCATCAGCTGAAGGTGTCATTGCAGCCATCGAATGGTTTCTACAAAAACAAAAATCTAGGCCTGCTAAGTGAACACACAAGAGATTAATGTTTCTTAACCTGATCATAGAAAGGGCAGCCTAGTTGTTGGGGTAACTCATTGTAGGATCTCTGGTATGCCTAGGGGGTGAATAGACCTATAAAAATTCAACTCAAACCGAAGTCAAATTCACCCATGGCATTGCCGCTCTATGAGCGCGGCACTGCCGCACCTGTAGGAGAGATTAGTTTACAATTCAAAATCTTCCCAACAAAATTTAGATCGGGTATATTTCTTAGCTTCCTACAGGGTAGTAGATCATAGATAGATAGCTGAAAGT